AACTGTTCATTTAAGATTTAACTTTTATTGTAATTTATATTTGTATCCACTCATCATTTGATATCACTGTATACACTTGGAAGTTTAGTACTCTGAGTTATATGTAGCATGCAGTTCAATAATGAAAGCTCTGATGGCTTCATTGAAGGTCGAAACATGTAGCTAAGATATCTTCTACAGCTGCTTACAAGTGTTGATGTTGTGTTGTGACAGTTTCCAGTAAGAAATAATATATGACACACAGCAGGATGTATTCATTGGAAATTACTCATGCCTACTGATTCACTGTACTTGGGCTTCAAACTCATTTCTCTTCCTATTAGGATTTTTCATGTTATTTACTCTCATTTTCCAGGGTAATTTGAATGAACTTCAGCCTGTACATGGTGAGGGGCAACAGTATTCCTGCGATGAGTGTGGTGAATCATTCAGTCAGCAGGTAATTCTGAGAGCACATCAGCGCATACATACTGGGGAGTGGCCGTTTTGCTGTGGCGTATGTAATAAATCATTCAGTCAATGGAACCATCTGAAGAGACATCAGCGCATACATAGTGGGAAGAAGCCATTTTGCTGTGATGTATGTAATAAGTCATTCAGTCAGCAGAGCCATCTGAAGAGACATCAGCGCATACATAGTGGGGAGCGGCCGTTTTGCTGTGATGTATGTAATAAGTTGTTCAGTCGGCAGAGTATTCTGAAGACACATCAGCGCATACATAGTGGGGAGAAGCCATTTATATGTGACGTATGTAACAAGTCATTCATTTCCAAGAGTATTCTGAAGAAGCATATGTACATACATACTGGGGAGCGGCCGTTTTGCTGTGATGTATGTAATAAGCCATTCAGTCAGCAAAGTAGTCTGAAAATACATCAGTTCACACATGGTGGGGAGCGGCCATTTATATGTGACGTATGTAACAAGTCATTCATTTCCAAGAGTATTCTGAAGAAGCATATATACATACATACTGGGGAGTGGCCGTTTTGCTGTGATGTATGTAATAAGTCATTCAGTCAGCAAAGTAGTCTGAAGACACATCAGTTCACACATAGTGGGGAGATGCCATTTTGCTGTGATGTATGTAACAAGTCATTCATTTCCAAGAGTATTCTGAAGAAGCATATATACATACATACTGGGGAGCGGCCGTTTTGCTGTGATGTTTGTAATAAGTCATTCAGTCGGCAGAGTAGTCTGAAGAGACATGAGCACTTACATGTTGATGTGTGCAGTAAATCATAGAGCAGTAGAGATGGGTTTAAGCTAAAGGAACAGTATGTGAATTGTAGCATTCCACAGTTCTTCATGTTGTAGGTAAGACAGTTTTGCTGTGTGTGGCATGCTCCAGTGTTCTAGAATGCTACAATATATTGGAGTTGATTGCTGTTGCTAACCTTTTGAATTGACAAGAAATGAACCGAGTCCCATGGTACAAAACATCTGTGCAAATGAGTTCCATTTGATTCTGATTGCTGAATGTGTACAATACCCTGTCCTGTTGAGTGGAAACAGACATGACATTCTAATACAGTTATGATGTTAATTCAGCAGTGGAAGCTAATGATTAGTAGTGTGTGGTCACTGAAATGGATCGACAGCTTATACACATAATTCAGCAGCGTTGTATGTTTTTTCTGTATGCTATCTGTGGTCTTTTGCCATTACATGTGAGTAGATTCGCTGATCAGTTAGTTTCAGATTGATATATTGCTTGGATTGAGTATGTTGAGATAACTATGAGGGTAAGTCAATAAGTAAGTTACAAATGGATATAGAACTTTAATAAATAAGAGTACTGATTTGGAAAATGCTTTTATTTCTCAGCATAACCTCCCTGTACATTGAGGCACTTGTCCCATCGTTTCTTAAGCCCCATGAAAACCAGCAGCATAAAATTGTTTGGGCTGCTGTTGGAACCAGGCAGTCACCTTAAACTTCTTTTGGCAGTTGATGATTCCACTGCATTCACACACGCTTTGTCTCAAGCTGGTAATGGTGAACCCAAGACTCATCGCCTGTGACAATTCGGCCTAGCATATTGTGTCCTTCATCGTGGTAGCGATTGAGATGCTGTAATGCCAGACCCATTCTTTGCATTTTGTGTTGTGGGGTCAGCATGCACAGCAACCATCGTGCACAGACTGTGTGAAAACCTAACCTGTCAGGCATTATGAGGTTGGCCATGCTGTGTGAACAACCAATAGCAGTGGCTATAGTGTCTATAGTTACCCTTCTGTAGGGAAGTCACCGCCTGGTTCCGACAGCAGCTTAAAGAATTTTATGCTGCTGGTTTTCAGGGCCTTATGAAACGATGGGACAAGTGCCTCAATGTACAGGGAGATTATGTTGAGAAAAAGAACATTTTTCAAATCAGTACTCTTAGTTGTATCTTACTTATTGACTTACCTACGTATTATGGATTGGTCAGATGAGTACAATCTATGCTACATTGGACATTGCAGACTTGTACTTAACCTTTAAGTGATGGCCCTTTAAATTCCGGTAATGGCAGCGGGACAGATTTGATTTAAATACCCGCAATTTTAAAGCAATAAAAACTGTAATCATTTCCTAAAATTGCTGTGATTTCTACAATTTTTGTGATAAACAAACCAAATAAACGCTGTTTTTTTCTAGAAAGAATGTAGAATCAGATATTGTAATTTACAGACTTTATAAAATGTGTAAAAATTTTTAGACTGATTCCAAGTAAAAAATTCCCAAATTTATCGTCTCTCTACAAGAATTCAGAGTTCTTGGAACGAAGAATGCTGTATGTAGAAGTTGTAACACAGCAGCGGATGGTTTATGTAGCCATGTTTAGTCTTGCATGTCTCGAAAGATTATACACGTACGTCATTTCGGTATGCAGAGATGTGGGGTGAGTATCTATTCGTATACAAGAACCCTGATTGTTTATTATCGCTTGTCGCAACACAACAAGCTCTCTGTTCTCACTCTGCTGGAAGTAGATTGTAAGTACTTTCATGGTTAGCATCCTAATACTGCCAAGCAGTATCAAAAGCATGAAACAACCATTGCGCTGTCTCGTTAGGAAGACGCTGACATATTTCAACTCATAAACGACTCCGAATCAGATTGTTGTACCGACAATTCTGAGAGTGGCGTTGAGGAAAGTGAATCAGAAATTGATTTCGACGAAGACCCATCATCTTGGTCGGCAACCTGGGGACCACCACACCAGCATGGCAACAGGAGTGTGAATAATTATTCAGGTGGAGCTGTGGGCAAACTGTGGCAAACAGTTATAGCATCTGTCGTCGAACCTGGAAATGGACAAATAAACTATTTTTCCATCTCCTGGATCTGAACAGTTACATCCTGTTGTCAGAGAATTTCGTCTCGCTCTTGTGCGGAACATGCTGGAAGGGGTCCACCTCGCCATCAACGGCCCAGGGGTTGAACCCCTGCCGTTTTATCGGAGATATCTCGATTATAGGAGGCCAAACCACATCACTGGCCGACTTCCTCTACTTCGTAATTGAGGTGTCATGTGTGCTTTTCGCGTGGGAAACGAAGAACCGTCTAGACAAAGTGCATGAAGTACAACGTCGGACTCTGGATTTCCGGATGTTTCCAAGATTTCCACACAAAGCCAACTTCCGTCAGACAACGCAGGTGGGAAGAGAGACAACTTATAAAGCTGGTGACCAGAAATCATGTAAGTAGAAAAAGAATTTATAACTTAAAATTAGATTTTAAAAAGCCGGCTGCACGCGTGGACTGCGCCGACGACATATGGCGTCATTCGTCCCCTTGACTTTATTTTCATGACGCCATATGGTGTCGCTCGGCTCTTAAAGGTTAAAATAGACAAACAGTACAGTCTCATAATATACAATGTATGTAGTTGAAACAGTATCATCAAATCTCCGACTAATGCTCATTTCATCCCCTAGATGCATTGAGCAGTTAATTCCATTAGTAAGGGTTAAGGCAGAGTCTGAAAGATATTCCACAAAGTGCATTACCTTCAGCAGGTAGGTTACCTGTTGGTCCCACTTGCGAAAGGTGCCTAGAAGGAGACAAATCAGCCACACGTACCCTATGTGATTGTGAGGCCATAGCTTATTTAAGATTATATCACCTAGGCCAGTTCTTTATGGAACCAAGTGACTGTTATGACACCCCCATAAACAAAGTCCCACATTTCATTTGAAGTGTAGGATGAATGAAGGGTTAATCAAAAGGGGAAGCACAATAGATCACTGATGGTCATGGTGCAAGGACCGGATTATTATGGCCCGCCGCTCATACAATTATTCATTCATTCAGGCAGGTTGCCTTTTGTTGGAAGAAGCTTGAAAAATATCTTGTCGGTTTAGCAGATGAGGGACTCTGTAACTGCAGACTCAGTAAAATAGCCAGCTGTGCTGCCACTGGGTTCACTTTAAGCTCCCAGCAGTGCAGAATGTTTGGGGGACCACACAATGGCCAGATTGTGAGAGGGCATCCCTGTTGTATGACACTGTTTAGCTACATGAGCCAAATACAGCAGTAGGGCCCCAAGGGTTCTGCAAAAACAATGCAGTACAATCCCCACAAATTATTTTATTGCATACACTTTGAAAAGTATGGTATATTCTAATAATCGCAATAAATACCCCATACAAACTCATAAATTGATCATTACACCATAACATTTTTTAAACATTTCCTCTGCTTTAAATTTCCATGTCTTATAAACTCAACTAAGTCTTGCTGAAGTAGCAACTGAAAAGTACAGCATAGCCAAATAAGGAAGTTGCTTCAGAAGAATTCAAAGAGGAAATGTGACCTGACGAAATATTATGGTTTGCAACACTGTTAAATTGAACTGATGGCATTCAGCTGAATTGCTGACAACCAGCTTCCTAAAATATTATTTTTTAACAAGTGAAACGGGTACAATACAATAAACAGAGATGAGCTATGTAAATTACTTGTTCATGACACAGATTATTTATTCATTAACAAGCATCACCAAAAATACCTCTGGTGGGGAAGTGGCAGTTTCTGGACAGCGTGCTGCATGCGGAAAAGTCTGCAACCCACTTCAGGACTGTGCTGAAAGGCGTCAACAAAGGCGTGGTAGAGCTGGTATGTGCACAGAGGGTTTGGAAGTTCAAGGAAGTACATCTTGAGTGCAGATGCAACGGAATGTACGTCCTGAAGAGGTTTCTGATATTCACAGACAACTGGCACCAAATGCTCATCAAATTCATGCCTGGAAAAAATTGAAATTAACATTAGTAACCTTATATATTAACCTTTAAGAGACGGGCCATTTAAATTCCCGTAATGGCCGCCATTGTAGAGTAATAAAAATTGTAAGCATGTTACTGAAAATGCTGTGATTTCTACAATTTTTGTGATAAACCAACGAAATAAATGCTGCTTTTATCTAGAAAGAATATAGAATCAGATATTGTAATTTACAGATTTTAGAATCTGTAAAAATTGTTACATTGATTCCAAAAAAATTTTTCCCCCAATTTTGAGCGTCTGTCCACAGAAATGCATAAAGCTTCTGAACAAAACGTTTCTGCAGTATAAATGCATGCTGCTGACACACTGTCTGACTGTGTCTTATCTGGCAAGAGGAGAGGAAGATTATGTTTTCATTGCACGTTCTTCAGTCACGTCGGCTTTCTGTATACACGAGTGTGGGCCTGTTTATATGTCAGAGTAGCCACACAGAGTTACTGTTCTTGGAATATTCCCGCAGTGCCCATTGCTTCCTCGTCTCTTCAGAATCGACTGTACCACATTCTGAATGGTGTGATTTACGAGCGGCCTCTCAATTCTGGCTTCTTCCATGCGAAATGGGGCCATGGTGTATAGTTGAAATTGTGATGTTTTATAAGCATTAGGATTAGAGGACATCACTGGCCTACTTCCTCTAATAAGAGTGTGAGGTGTTGTGTGTGCTCTTCACGTGGGAAATGGAGTTACACATCGACGAAGTGCATTAATTGTGGCGTCGGACTCTGCATTCAGTTAGATGATGCAGAAGTGAAGACAGTCTACTTATAAACCTGGTGTCCAAAAATAATGTAAGTAGAACAAGAGTTTCTATCTTAAAATTAGATTTTAAAACACTGTGCGGACACGTGGAATGCGAGTCACCATACGGTGCCATAAGACCACTCGGCTTTACTTTAAAGGTCCGCATATGGTGTCTTTCAGCTCTTAAAGGTTAACCCTTATCCAGCTATCAGAAGAACAATAAAAAACTGCATCCTAATCAGTTTCACCCCCAGCGTCTTTGTAACTGGCAATTAAAGTGTGTCAGTGCAACAACCAATTACCTGAAGATGGGAGATGCTCCAACTCTTGAAATGTTCTGTATGGCAAATACACCTCACATACTGGAGAATGCCCAGCACAGGACTGGTATCAAAAATTGAGCATTGCCACCTATGTTTAGAGAATCACAGGAACTGAATATCTGCTTGCATGTGTAAATTAGTAGGTTAATTATAATGAGTCCACAGAGTTTTCAGTTTGGGAGAATCAAAATACAGCTTTCTAAACAATACAGTCAGTAACAGATTTTACCTGAGCTTCTGAATTTTTGATGTAGAACTGGACCACCCTTAGATTCCTCCCACAATCCCATTGAATTGGACATATTCCGCACACGCCAGCAACACTGCTGGCACTACAAACAGAATGTCCATATATAGAATCTGCTGAAACAAAATAACCTTCGATTCACAAGATTAACTGATGTGAGGATCTGATTCTGTTTTGTGCAAGAATTAACTCAGTACAGCTTATTTTACAAGACCCACTGCAGTTTTATCTTCACTTCCATCTTCCATTTTCTCAGCGTCAGCCTAGGAATGGAAGTGCAATGTGGATAACCCTCTCTACTGCTGGAATCAGAATCTCAAAGCCTGCATTCAGATGTATTCACTTACACTGCTTCCTTCTACCACAGCAGCAACAGCTGATCCAGTCTGCTCCTACATAACTACACCTATCTGAATGGCCCTCTCCACATAATTTGTATGCTTCTCCAAGTATAAGTAGAATATACTTCTTTATTAGAGTCCGTTGCAAGACAACAATACAATGGTCAAGGCTAAAATTGGCTTAGCTACATGTTTCGGCTATTAAAGCCATCATTAGGCAAACACATGATTACCATATTCACACACTACTGAACTGCAATTGTGATAGTGACTCTGGATATGTTGATAATAACTACATTATAAAATACATTGTATATAAATACAATGAACTATAAACTTACTATAAAAACGAAAGTTATGGTATAAAATAAGGTCAAAAACTCTTCATGTGATATTCCATATCATCAAGTCAGTTGTTGCAATGTTGTTATATTCCCGCAGAGATAATGGTATATTCTAGACTTTTGTACATGTAAAAAACTGCTTGGAGGCCTATGGTATAGATTTGACATTAACTGTTTAGCCGGTGCCTCATCTTACAATGTATTTTGGCTGTTCTGTAGGGAATATAGATTGCAACTAGATAACCACCTATGATTAAACTGTGCTTGCCAGTTCATGTGCCATTCACTGCACCCAACTACTGGATGGATTTCTATCAGACTTGGTATTGTAGGTAAAAGTAAAAAATTAAAGTTATCCCTGTAACTGGCTGTGGAGACCCATAGGATTGTGAGACGTCGAGGCTCCCACATTTTCTACACAATCAGCCTTACGCGCCAGCCGCCCTTTACCCCCAGGAAGATTCCTTGTACTCATTTCTGCTCATTTCTACAGGGTGGGCCAGACTCAATTAGGCAGTTTTTGATTAGATGTTATTTTTATTGATAAATGTTGACAATTGCAATGGTTACAAAAATGGATTCGCACACACATAAGTCATCGATTTTCAAGATGCTGGTCAACCTGGGCACCACCTAAGTCAACACAGGCTTGCAGACGCAAAGCAATATTTTCACACACCTTTCTACACATATTCACCGGAACTTTATTGAACTCCTGAACAATCACCTCACAATCACCGATCCTGATGTTTGTAATTTGGCCTCATCAGTCCAGACAATATTCCGGATAAGTTCAGGGTTCTCCTGAAACTTGGTCAGCATCAACTTGGCGAACTCAAGTTGCCTGTTGAAGTCGTCCTCGTTAAGAGCATGAATAAGCCGTGGATGGCATGGCGTCAACTTCATGTCACTCAAAACTCTCGGCAAACTTGTCCTCGAAATGTCCAGTAGGGCCAACAAACGGTGGGTAGACTTCGATTTCTGAGGAGATGATGCCAGTTCTGCAGCAAAACTTGCCTGTGTGTCAGCAGTTCGGACAGTTCTCGGCTGACCAGGATGCTTGGGATTCAAAGCACTGGCAGTTTCATCAAACTGCTTGTTTATTCGAACGACTGTGTCCCTGTGGACTGCTGGCGGTCCAAACTCTTCCAACATCCTGCGCTCGACTTCTGATACATTGTTGGTAACTGAGAAAAGGAGCACACATTTTACATGCTGCTTGATAGACAACCGTCTACCGGCCATGACGTTTCCTCAATGCGCACTAAGTAGGCAGAGTATTGACCTCGTTCACAGCATGCCGTATGATGCTGCCATCTATCGACAACAAAAGGTACTTTCCCGTTATCCCGTGTGTTGTTGGATTGGTTAGTTATTAATGATCAAAAACTGCCTAATTGAGTCTGGCCCACTCTGTATTACAGACTGAGTCAACCCTACGACCATAGTCTGCCTGGAAGGGTTAGGTCAACTGCAAAATCCAATGACATTGGGAATCAAACCCACAATCTTCCAAATTGTAGCATAAAGCTAATTTTGTCCCCCTGCTTAATTAATGAAGCCACTTTGCCAAGAAGATATGGGAGTGGAGGTATAGCTTGCATCATTCTTGACCTGAGCACTCCCTGGCTGCTTTACCCATAAGGAAAGAGCCCCCAGTGGTAACGCTCTAAACTTTTATTTCTTTATTTTTTTCGCTCTCACAATAGGGCTTAATCTTGTACTCTGGAGGTGCTCAATTCCATGCTTGATTGGGACAGCACCTATCCTTACTGATGTTTCTCACAGTTTTGCTCAGTCCCTCCAGATGGACAAATACTGGGATAGTACCTCAATTAGGCCAGAACCGCTTCCTTCCAAATCCCTTCCATTTCGTCATTCATCAACCTACCATTTGATGCTACATAGACCAGATATTGGCAGTGTCAGTGGCAGTAACCTATATGCCTAGTTAAGTGTTGTCACGAAGTCATGTATAATAATCCCATGGGAACATGCTCTGTTAATACCCACTGCCTAGGAAATCAACTTCCCATCTGGCTCCACTATTCCGGCTTTCAGGCATCACGGTACAATATGTCGAGCCCAGTTTAATCTGTTTATTTTTATATATTTAGTGATACCTGGCTCATTAAATAGCTTAAATAATTCATGGTTATATCTCTTCCACCATGTATACTTATACTGCGCAGCTCCAAAAATGCATTTGAGAACTTTTCTTTCAAAGAGACGTAATGATCTTTCATCTGCCTTGGATAGCATCCGGGTCTCAGACGTCTCACAAGTGTCGTGTGCATCAGCAATTTAGTTTTCTTTGAGAACTTTGACTTTAGATGTTCCTTAAGTCCATAAAAACATCTACTTACAGAAAGGGTATGTCTTTTTATCTTCGTGCTAATGTCATTTTTGCAGTTGACCTCTGATCCCAAATAAGTGAAATTATGCACAATTTCAAATGAATAGAAATCAATTTCTATCCAGGTTGGGGTGCCTGCACGGCCCTTTACATGTATACCATAAATGTGTAAAACAGGAAATGCACTGAGCACTGTGAAGTATGCAACTGCATGGCTAAGTCAGGAGAATTGTGCATGCAACTCACTGGACATACAGCAGCCTCTAGCATGGCCGCAGACAGGACACTAATTCTCCTTGTGGGTCTGTTGAAACACAGATAACAGAGCCACAGAACATTTCGCATTATACTTTGGACATGCAGTTTCTTTCTCTGTTGCTGGATGGAGCATGTAGCTACTTCTTGTGATTCCTCGGACATGTGTACATCGTTTGCTATTCATTTCACTGTTGAGAAGTACCAAAAACTGCTAGTGTGTTGCAGTAAGCCAGCAGCAGTGTCATTGGGAGTGAAAGTGTTACTGACTGATTTCAGCAATATAAAGCCACAGCAACAACGTGAACAGAAGCTGCCTGAGGCGTGATTACTTGTGACACAATGCCCTCGTGTGTCCCAGTGGTCTGAATGCAGCTTCTGTCTGTAGAACCACACAATTTCTCGACAGAAGCTATCGAAGCAACCCTTTTCTTCATCCCAATCCACACCTGTCGAGAGATATAACAGGAAGAGAGGCAGGCCACATGTTGCAGGGCTGTACTGGTCTGAAACAGAGAAACCATCAGACAGTGCGCTGCAATGCAACAGCATTTGACCAGAAAGTATTGAAGATCTAAGTTTCTCACAGCGGTGAATACTGTGACATGGCAGCTGAACTGCTCATAAACACTTTTCTATGGCAACAAACACATTGAAATGTTGGAAGTGGTTATTTTTATTGGGTCCGTACTGAGGCGGTATAATGAGAACCATTCAGAGCTTTCAGCCTCAGGCCTACAACCGTTCAGCTGACTGACTGCAGTTTCAGAGTAGTTACATAAATTAAGGCATAACCCACTGCACAAGCCTGCATTGACAGGAAACCTCTGTATAAATGTTACTTTGGGCAGTGCAGTGCAGTGCAGTGATGAAGGGTGCACAGTCCACAGTGACAGCATGAATGTACTCATGCTGAAACTACAGTACAACAAATATAGCACCTATGCAGAATGACAGAGAGGCCCCACTTAAACACATACATCTTGGTCACAGATCTCAACGAAACTCAAAGCCAAGGATGACTGTACTCAGATGAAGGTACAGTAGGCTTCTTTGAAATGCTGGTAACCAAACTTTGTGGTTGACAAATTGAGACAACTTGCTCAGCAGCAGTGTCAAATGGAGCCATTTTTCACCACAACGCGGTGCAATGAACGTGAAGATGGCCTCAAGATACGGGCATATCACATATCACAGACAAACATTCATCAGTCTTCTACCTTGAAAATGGAATAAATATGTTCCTCTCTAATGTTGATATGCACCTACCAGGCTACATGAGGTCATGCAGACCACAATATAAATATCCAGTGCTGTAAAAACCTTGCATCTTAAAAAACATACACTGTACTTAGTTTTCTCTGCATTCACTTCTAGACCAACATCCTTACAAGTGTCTAACAGTTTCTTTTGTCAGATTTGAGGATCTCACAGCAGTGACTATGGAAAGTACCATCTTGTGATAAGTGATGGTTTGGGAGATCATGCTGCCTCCATCTTCAGGATCAAAGACATATGCAATACATTCCCCCAAAGCACTGGTGAACATCTACCAGACTATTCAACATTACAACCCAGAAGATACAAAGTGATTCACTAAGAGGGGGACTTGAATTAATAATTACAAATCAGACAGTAATTTACCAATGAAAACTAATCTTTACAACACTACCCTGGGGTCTGCCTTCCCAGTTCACACCATTTCTGCAATCCCACCTGTCATCCTGGCTACAACAGTCTTTGTCTCCAGGGAGAGGGAAACCAGTTTCAACAGTTTCTGTAACCCAACTGCCTCAACTTCTACCTAGCTATGTCACAGCCATGATTAGTTCTCATTGGGAAATTACTGCATGATTCATAATTAATAATGTGGGGCCTCATATGAGTGAATGATCATGTAGTACTCATCAGTTTCTGTGCTCTTTGTTTTCACTTCCTAAACTAGCACCATCAGCACAGGCCAGTAGCTGATGTACTCAGTCTCTTTCACACTTAAAAAAAAAACCTTTGTCAAGTATTTCTTGTCTGAATCATGCATGCTGCATGTTTCCCTCATCCCACTGTTCCTGTTCTGAATAACAATGGGCAAAACTGAGCAGGTTACTTTACCAACAACTGTTACTGGTGTTTGGTTCAAATCTTGACCAGGATATTGGCTACCCACAAATCATATCTTTTATGGTCTTCCTTGGTCCCTCCAAGCAAATCTTAGGATAGTACTTTGATTTTGCCACAGGTGCTCCCTTCACCCTGGCATTCATGCAGCACAGCCAGCGACAAAGCATACATACTCTCCCATCCTTTAACAAACATCTGCAAGTATTTGTACTTTTTGCCAAACCTGATGAGTTTCAGAGCCAACTAATAATCATCAGGTGCAGGAGTAAATCACTCTCGACTTGTTCTGCTGCACTTAAGACTGAGACCCACCAAGCAGCAGAGGCAAGCTGCACAAGTTCCCCTTGGTATCAATAATCATCGAGAAGTATTCATCGAGCATGGGTCCCTTCTCCATGAGCAACTCCTCTATGGATCGAGCCAGTTCAGTTTTAGGTCTGTCCACTTCAGTCCAACCAGATGATGCATCATCCAGAGCCACAAGTGCCATCTCGTAAATGGGCAGCGGATTCTGAGAACACAAATGAAGGTTCAACAGGACAGACTTCAGAAATCTCATGCTAGAGCATTGGTCTCTTGGTATCTCATACATCAGCCCTCAGCTCTGTTTTGCTTGGATGAATTAGTTAGGTACCTCCAGGAAACTGTCTGAACATTACTCTTTTAACACTGGCCGCTTCATCATTCATGATTACCTTCCAAGCTAACACTATACATCACATACAGGTGGGAAAACTGGTAAAGAAACAAATAAAATATTGAAAATTTCTGTTTCATAGGGTATACTGCACCCTGTAGTCTGGTTAAGTTCCCAGATGTTTTGGGGGCAACATACTCTCTCCATCTTCAGGGATGAAGAGCAAACCAAGCAAGAATTAGGCTGAAAACAAAGAGAACTGTGTACAGAAAATTATGTCACACAAGGGAAGTAAAATACATGTAAAGTAGGCAGAACCACTGATGGAATGAGAACTTGAGAAAAAAAAAAACTTAAAGGACCCTACAGGGAACCAATAGGAGCAAAGGGGAAAGTAACTACTGTGACCCTTAAAAGGAGTGAATTTTGTAGACCTGACGGATGATAGGAAAGAAGTCATATCAGCAGATGTAGGCAAGCAGCAGGGGATAAAGAGCAAAAGGGAGCAGAAGAAAAGACACACAAGGAAGCAGCAACAAGTTGCTGTGGAGAGAGTAGCATGGAAATCAGGCAGATGGGTGCCCTGAAAAGGTCTGCTTTTCTGGCTTACTCTTCAATCCTGAAGACAGTGACCGTATGTTCCTCCAAAACATTGGCGAGTTCCTACCAACACTACATGGGATCACATCCCAGAAGCCACTACACTTCACGGTCAAGTAAATCTCAGAGCCAAAATAAGATATTATCCTTCTGTTTGGAATTACTGCGTGTTTTGGACTTTCTTCTTTGTCTAAAAAACACTAGAGAACACAACGTTCCACAAACTAGACCCATTTCTGTCCTCAGACACCCACATTGTTGGGTCCATTAGAAAGAGCAGGTGTCTCTCCCCCTCACCTCTGGACGGAAACAGGGCCAGTTTCCGAAATGCTGTGTTCTTTTTAGAATACCGGATGACTGACAAAGTCCAAAAACCCGGTAATTCCAAGGATTACCCACCGTGGTCAGAACCCTTAGAATCTGCATTACTCTTCTGGAATGATCAAGTCAAGGAGGATAAGATGGGCAGGGGATATAACACACACAGGAGAGAAGAGGAATGCATAATGGGTTTTAGTGGGAAAGCCAGAAGGAAAGAGACCACCAGGAAGACCTAGATGTAGATGGGAGGATACTATTCAAATGGATCTTAGGAAAATAAGATGGGGTGGTATGGACTGGACTGATCTGACTCAGGACAGGTGGCAGCAATCGGTTCTTGTCTGAGGACCTGGTTCACTCTTACAGCACACAGCTGTTAGTCCCTTGGCAAACCCATAACCTGGAGGAATAATCTTTGTCAGCTATCTGCAGCTGTTTATAATAACAGCAAATCCTTAATATCTGGTGGGTGTTTTCCCCACTCAACTGCATTCTGAGGGTAGCACTTGCCTTCAGTTCTCCCAACAGAACTTCCTGTTCCTACCCATGTGACACAGAGAAGGTGAAAGGTAAATTTGTCCCTGTACTTAATTAAACATCATGCCATGAAAACATATGAGGGAGCAGCGGTACAGCTCCATGAATTTTTACCACTGGAACTAGATGAAGTTGAGTTCTCAACTTCAGGCCCCAGCCACTTTACACTCCAGTTAAGAGTCCCCAGCACCCATTGGATAAGAGGCTGGGTAGGCCCCGGAGCTGGTCTGGACACTGTAGAGAAAAGTCTCTGTCCCCACTGGGAATCTGAATTGTTCATGCAGCCTAGCCCCCTATACCTGTGTGACATATGCCCAACATACAATTTGCATTACATACTGTCTGCTCTGTACGAAATGTGAATCATACTTACTGTAAATCTGATTACTCCAAAGTTACCGAAGTCAAAAAGCATTATCTGGAATAGTTCCTCACTGCAAAATAACAGGTACAGTACTTGATTAGACAAGCACCAAAATGGCAAGCTGACAGCGATATATAGGTGGTTCTTGTTATGTGTAGGAGAAATGAATTCTTGCAATTTGTGGCATATATTGGAAATGCACTGACTGAACACTGAGCAGCGTGGGGGAGCAGGAGATGATACAGACGGAGTCGAAATGTTGGGGCAATTCGAGCAGTCTGCATGCACAACTCACTCGCCACAGCGGAGGAGCAGGAGATGATACAGATGGAGTCGAAATGTTGGGGCAAGTCAAGCAGTCTGCATGCACAACTCATTGGGCACATGCAGCAGCTCCAACTATGCCTACAGATANACTTATACTTTTTCTTCAACCCTGAAGATGGGGGCGATACGTTCCTCCGAAACGTCGGTTAACACCACATATACACGGTGCCAAATCCCAGAAGACTGCTTTCTTCAGATATGACACTGACATAGAACCATGGACAGTCACCTGTGCAAGGATAAGAACAGGACAAAAACATTAAAATCAATACAAGAGATCTGCTGCTCACAGGTCATGAACTTTGCTCCACACTGAAATGTTCTATGGACATCTGTGACAGTAAGACAAGCTATCAAGATCCTCTTAACATAGAATAGATTGCCATGAGCTAGGCTTGTCACCTCCACAACAAAAATTCACTCCAATACTGTCCTGAATCAACAGGAACCTAGTTACTGTCATCATACTGACATCTTCACTGAGTTCCATGAATTAACACCCTCCACATATCGACTGAGTCATGAGACTTCCTCTTTCAGCATAATGCCTTACATTCTCCTTTGGTTGTCTAGCTGCTTCATACATACCAATATCCCCAGCGATAACTAAACAGTACACCCACTAGCAATAAACACACTTTGAGCTGGTTGACATAGGCCAGAAGATGGTGCAGGGGAATACAACAGTATGCAGATAAAGGGAAGCCTCGAGCCCTGCCATCCCCACCATCCATTGCTTTGGGGCAGTCAATTTGGCAACGTCCCTGATCACTCAGGTTAAATTCCCATTATAGGTTGCATAAGATGGAAATTCTTGACCAGCTTCTCAAGAACAACGGTTCCAAGGAGTTAGTTGGTTGTTTGGTTAGTTAGACAGTCAGTATATTGGAGGGGTAGAGCTGCTACGATTTGAAGGCGAGGGTTAAGTCATGATGGCCTGCAATAAGTGGCACTCTAGAATCATGTTCAAGAAGTGATGCTCAGCTTGAATCTCAGCCAGGTCACTGGCTATCCTGACAGGTGGTTCCCCTTAACCAATTTCCCTCGATGTAAATGACAGGATAATGCTTGAGTGAGGGCAACACACACTGAGTCTTATGTAACCACTGCATCAATGTGAAAGGTGATCTGACCTGAGACGAGCAGTGTTGCAAAGGAACAGCTTGGTCTCATGCTGGATCAGGGCCTGTTTCGGACTCAGACAGCCTATGAAAGTGCTGTTCTTCAGCAGCGCCCTCAGCCCCACATGTGTCGCATCTTCCACGTCACGTCGCAGCTCCAGAACACTCGTCAACTTGCATTCCACTCTGCAAAGGCAAGTTCACAGCAGAGAGTACCAAGATTAGTCTTTAAGACATAAAAGTTTGTGACAATGGTACGTTAATAAAATTATAATGTTTCTAGACAATACCCATCCATTTCAGAGACTCGATTCTGACTCCACCTTCAAGTGGAACCTACTCAGTTCAGTCCAATTGACAGAGCTAGTCTCTCTCTCCGGGGATAAGGACTAACTCTATTAACTGGGTAGGTTTCGGAGACTGGATCCCCCCAAACATATCAGGAGCCACCAACTCCCATAGTCCTGTTTCCTTTCCTCCTTTCAGATACTTTCTGACTGACTCTCATTAAAAAAAGACATCATGAAACAAGTTGATGCAGACAGATGAGAACAGCACAACCTCATTTCTTCAGCACAGTTGCAAACAACTGTGACAGTACATATGCTGCAACTTGTTACTTTTCACTGCACCCCCATCCCTTGGAAGTACATCATGCCGCTCAGTACTGAGACCACATATCTGCCTGGCGTGTTCGGTCCTGAAGCTCTTTCATTCCCACAAACTCCTGATTCATCAGGATTCATCGCTTTGCTGTGAAATAAACAGTGTGCATTAAGCATTAATTTGATTCAATAATTCCAGAAACAAGGTACCTTGCTCAGGAAGTCATGAATATCCTTAACAGTGAGAGTGAGCAACCCAAACATATAAGATCCATTCTCCTAGGAAAATGGGAGTTCAGAGACAGAAGGGGGTTAGGGGAAACAATGAACAGGAGACTCGTCCCACATGTGGCAGAGAGGAAGACTGGAACCACAGATGCAGATATGGATTTGGGGGGGACCAGCTTTAGAAAAACAGGTTTAAGAATACTGATACAGAATTAGGTATTAGGAGTACAGCAGGGTGCAAGAGTGAAGAGCAGTCACAGACAACAGCAAATGTATGTGGTTAGATATACAGGTAAATGAGCGTGAATGGTAAGAAAGCACAAGAGCGAAGAAGAAATACAGATGACTAGTAATTAGTAGAGGCAGCAAAAGGATATACACGATTAACATATTAATGTATAATACAAAGGTTCTATACTGTAGGAAAAGTAATTTAGGTGGGATGTTGAGTGCAGGGTCAAGAGGGAAAACTCAGGCACCCAAAGTGTAAAATGTAATGGCCCTAATGCAGAAAACTGCAGTCATGCTCCTTGCCAGGAACCACAGCAGTGCAAAGGACAGCACTCTTGTTTAGAGTTCAGAAGGTTCTGGATTCAAATCTCAGTAAGGAAATTTGCTACCCTGATTGACACTTTCCCATGATTTTCCTCAGTCTCAAACAGGGCAGCTCAGTGACAGTATAGTGACAGCTCTGGGCTTCATTCCCAGCAGAGGCAAGATGTTCTTCCCCTCTCTGCAGCATCCAGACCGGCTCCGGGGCCCACACATCCTCCTATGCATTGGAGACTGATGTCTCTATCCCAGAGGTAAAGTGGCCTGACAATGAAGCTCAACACTGACCTCCACCTAGTGCTGGGGTTAAGAATGTGTGAGCCTATACCTCCACGGCCCCATATGCCTTCATGGCTCAGTGCTTAATTAACTAAGCACAGCAACAGCTCTACCTTGCACCATACCTTTACCTTTAGGCATGTGCTTAGAAAGTACACAGCATGTCTTCTTTTGCATCCCTTCTAACTGAGGAAGACATGAGAAGCCACAAAGAGTACAAATTGAAACCTCCATTTTCAAAATACCTGTTGGATGTGTAACACCACATTGGGCTCATGTTACCTGGCGGAGGGTTTAGTGGCAGCAGCAAGGGAGCCAAAGTACTTGTCCAGCTTCTGCACAGAACTGTCAGTCCGTACCATCTGATGGGCATATATCTTGTTTGTCTCCACAGCCATGGTCTCTTTGGCATACCAGCACCAGGAAGCCGGGCCTTAAATAAAAACCATCACAGCACTAAATGAGTTGCAACCTGTTTCGGTATGGAAACACAGGAAAACGTCTGAGAAGACTTGAAGGGAACAGGGCAATACACACCTGAGGGGAGAGAGGAACAAATGGAAGCAACAGCAGCCAAAGGAGAAAAAACATCTGTAATATCCCCCCCCCCTTTAGGGAAGTGGCTTGTTCTTGAAAATATCTCTGCATCATAAAGTTCCCTGTTCTTCCCTTGACTCCTGCTTTATAAGTGGAGGTGTCTTCCTACGTAACTTTTCTAACCCAGTTTCAATGAAAACACGCGTCCTTACTAGACAGAAATAATACAAGGTTCACAAAAATAAAAATGTCATCTTTCCAGACGTCTTAAATTATATCAATACACTGCACAGTGTGAAACAAGATGGGAAGAGCAACTGCACTATTACATGCGCACTGGCTAGCCAACCCGACAAATGTGCACATGCAATCCGAATTCCTTACTAAATAATCACATTTCAGAGAAAATTCGCTGTTGCTGAATTTGCTCCCATTTCAGATCTTGTATGAAAAGAAAACTAACATTCATCCGAAACTACCTTAAGGGTGAATTTGTGACCCACAGCGTCTATTTTTTGTACATTATGACATGGGGGGCATGCAGTAGTGTACTTCATTCAGGCACTATGCTACAAACCAGAAGGTTGTGAGTTCAACATCTGATGAAGTCATAGCATTTTCAATTGACCTAATCCTTCTTAGGAAGCCGGGGTAGCATAGGTGGTATAGTGACTGGCTACGAGCTGGAAAATCAAGGGGTCAGAGGTGTCAAGAGTTCAAGTCTCAGAAGGTTCAAGAATTTTCTCCTCTTCACAGTGTCCAGACCAGTTCTACGGTCCACCCAACCCCCTATCCAATTGACACCAGGGGCTCTTTCCATGGGGGTAAAGCGGCCAGGTGTGAAGCTGACCACTCACCTCCAACTAGTGCTGAGGTCAAGAAACTGTGAATCTATACATCCACTCCCCTACATACCCTCATGACATAGTGCTCAATTAGTTAAGTACAGGGACAAATTTACCTTACCTTACCTAATCCTTCTTGTCACACTATAGCCCTGGGGTCGACTGAGCCTCTAACAGAAATGAGTACCAGGAATCTTGCTGGGGGTAATAAGCGGCTGGCGCTTAATGCTGATAACCTCACTACCATCTATGAGCTGCCTGTCTAGAAAAATGTGGGAGTCTTGATGTCTCACAACCCTATGAGCCTTCACGGCTTGTTACAGGGATGGCTTTACCTTTACCTTGCATTACTAAATGACACTTTCAGTATCAAGGAAAATACAGGGTTGGATGATAGGATGACTGAGAAATGATGAACTGGAAAGGATTTGGAAAGAAGCAGGCATGGCCTAATCAAGGTACTGTTCCAGCATTTTCCTGGAGGGACTAAGGAAAACCATGAAAAATTTGTCAGGATAGTTAGTGTCCCAGGTGAGACTTGAACCGGGCATCTCCCAAATGTGAGTCAAAAGCATTCCTGCTGCCCCAGCTGAGATGCAAACTGGGTAGCTCACCAGAAATAATGGGCAGAAACATTACCAACTGAGTCAATCTGCTCAGCTGTACATTGAACTTCAAACCTGCCTGTGTGTAGAACACTCTGGAGGTATTGCATCCCAGCAGGTTGCCCTCCACTGCTGCCTTGATCTTGTCAAGCACCAAATCCTCATGCAAGAAGTGCACCTCATGCTTGGTTGGGTGGACGTTCACATCTATGTTCCTGGAATCCAGCTCTAGACTTAGATACAGGAACGGATGTTTATTTTGTGGAAGGTATATGCTGTAAACTTGCTCCATCGCTTTCTTCAGGGCTGCCAACACACAACACACAGTGCACTATATTACATGTAGCATTATACTGCAAATCCAAATAAACAAGGAAGTCTCATGATGAATGTGGAGTCTCCACTCATGCAACTTATATCTTATTATCAGTTAAATGACACCATTCAACTGTCACTCACTTGTGAATGACGGCATTAGCTGAAATTACGAAGCTCAAACAAGTCATATGACTTTAACTTTAACCAATCGAGGTGCTATCTGGTCATTCGCTGGATGAACTGTGGAAAACAGCAAACACAGCTCAGGCAGGATAGCCAGTGTCCCAGCCAAGATTCAAACCGAGCACCTCTCAAATACAAGTTTGAAGTATTACTGCTGTGCCCCAAGTGGATCCACTCAGGAAAGGTCAAACATGTGTCCACTAAAATTTACACCCTTGAAATGCAACAGTGTATAAAATGTGTAAATAAAGATAAAAAACATGACAATTATGTGAAAGTTTACATAATACGGTGCGTTCTAAGAGCAGGATACTTAATGTAGTAGAGACAATCAACTGTTGGGTATTTGTAGTCTGAAGGTGGCACTACTGTGCTGAAACACATAGCCCAATTTATACAAATTTTGGTGGAAAGCACACAGTCTGAGACTGCACACATGGCAGCATCAACGGTTAGTGAAATTACACAATATTATACAACAGTACAAAACACCATTTTACGAACACTGGAAAATTCAACATCACTGAGCTGTTCAAGTTGCACAATTATCACATATTCTCATGCGATAAGATGGATACTGGAAGGACAGTCACAAAAACTCACCTGCAGATTCAACCATTCGATGATTGATGAAAGCAACATGATGTGTTTCTTTGAAGAGTAATTAACATTGCTTATGCATCCCGTCAATTTCAGCCTGAGTGCATCATCCGCGGCTTTCAACTCCAGGAGCTCCCTGTGTCAGGACATGAGAATGCATTCTCAAAATTGTGACTCCTCATAAAGGTTCATATTCAAATTCAAGACATAAAAAACTAATCTAATTCCCTTATTGTGTAACCAGCCAAGTGCTGAAGGGATGAAGACCAAGAACGTGCTGACATACTGCTCAGTCAGGGTTATCACACAACTGGGGGAGAGATGTCAGAGAAGTATGGAGCAGTGGTGGAACAATCAGCAAGGGGATACTCAAGAAACTCAGAGTAAAACCTGCTCCAGGGTCACTTTATCTATCACAGACCTCCCATGAAGTCATCCTGGGCCAAGACCGACTCTCTGTACTGAGAAGCCCATGATTAACTCCCACAGTTATGGTTTTCAGTGCATAAACATTGTTTAATATTAAAAAGAAATGGGTAAAGCTATCCTTGTAACAGGCTGTGAAGGCCCATTGGGTTTTGAGATGTCGAGGCTCCCACATTTTCTCTAGACGATCAGCTCACAGATGGTGGTAAAGATGTCAGTCTTATGCACTGGCCACCCTTTACCCCTCCCCCCCCAGAAGATCGCTGGTATTCATTTATGTTAGAGGCTGAGTCGACCCCAGGGCCATAGTGCGGCTGAAAGGATTGGGTAAATTGAAAAAATCTACTTCATCAGGACTTGAATCTGCAACCTTCAAGCTTGTAGCAAAGTGCCTCAACCAACTATCCTATTGCATGCCTCCAAGACTCTAATTATTATTTAATTTCATCCTTACAGATATTATAGGATATGACCATAAAATTAATGATATAGATAATAAAGTTGCACTTAAAAGGAATCTAGGATCAATATTTAAAATGTTTCAAAAAGCAGAACTGCTACTACTTTTTTAAGAGATTTAGACTGCATGAATGGATGTGCTGGTGACATAGCAGGGGATGCAGGTGGCCACTGACTAGCACTTCCGCAGGTGTGAGTGACACAGGGGGATGATATGGTTCACATTCCCATCTTACCTTACATTATGTGGTGTACTGACCTTTTCCCAGTTTTAGTTCTTAATGTTTAAATATCCTCCATTCCCAGGAGTGAGTAGGAATATAATGTCCTGTGGCACTGAAAGGTTAAGATGTCTGGGTAGAGGCCATCACTCTGAGTGATGGCCTTTACCCAACTGCAGACAGAAAAAATTTTGGCGAGTACACAATTCCACTTGCAACATGGGAGTAAAGGTAAAGTTATCCCTGCACTTAACTAATTAAGCACTATGCCATTAAAACCTTGGCCCTAGTTGGATGTGAGTGGTCAGCTTCACGACCTGGCTGTTTTACTCCTGGGAAAGAAACCCCCAGTACTCATTTGATAGGAGGCTGGGTGAGCCCCAGAGCCAGTCTGGACGACATGGAAGAGATCCTACTGGGACTCAAATTCAATGGTGAGATGAGATTTGCAAATTTTCCAAAAGATCAATTTCATAATTTAGGGGCACATAGTCTCTGTATGTTTTCTGTGTGAGTTTCTTTACAATGTTCAGTGACAGGATGACTGATGAATTGAAAAGATTTGGAAGGAAGTGGTCATGACCTAATCAGAATACTATTTCAGTATTTGCCTGCAGGAACTGAGAAACACCATGAAAAATTTGTCAGGATAGCTACTGCTCCAGCTGTGATTAGAACCAAGCACCTTCCAAATACAAGACCAGAGCATTACCACTACACCATCCTGCTCAGTGTCTATTGTTTTCTTCCTGAACTGGTTACATGACAAACAGTGGAATGTCTACTTGTTTCTGCAGATAGCATAAGTTTACTTGGCAATGGTCTTTCCATAAATGGTCCTGATGTTGTCGACAACTGTGGAGTTTGGTGGGGTCCTGATGTCGGCCAAACTCTCACCTGCTTCTTCAGAGTGAAGCCAACATGACAGTTATGGATGGCGTAGCGCCCCACAACATCTGCTATCCTGTTGTGCTCTTCGGCGGCACTCTTCAGAGCTTTCCTTCGTGTGGACATGTTATAGAACAGATCTTCCACAGTTATCTGTGTGCCCTGGTTGCCTGTGCAAGGCTTTGCAGGTGCCTTCAGCTTGCTGTCTCATATGAAGCTCTGTCACACAGAACAAGTGGTCTTTCAAAATAACACAACACAGAAAAGGAAAATAGAATATTCTGATATACCAAAATTTTGCACTTTCATTTTCACTTGTACACTGAGGCCACAGAAATAAGTCCTTTGGATTGATCCCAACTGCATCTCCCTTCAGTGCTCAAGCCATTCTGAACTGAAACCAGCGGTATTGCCATCCGGAATGGAAAGACTATATCACAGGGGTGCCCAAACTTACTGCATACTGGAGCCAGTTTGGGAGCAGCAAACAGATGCAGATTGGACAGCACAGCTGTTAGGTCCATGCTTTCTATATGGCAGATGTTTGCAAAGGGAGGAGTGAGCTGCACAGATGGGAATGTAAGCAGTTGCAAAGAGACAGCTCTGAATTATTTCAAGGCATTGCTACATTTGATTGGAGATACTGAGAAACACCATGAAAAACCCCACTAAGGATAGACAAAGATTCAAACTGGATATTTCCAAAATGTAAGTCCAGTATTACCACAACACCAGTCTGCACAGTACAGTAAATTATTATGAGGCCATAAAAACTAATGCCACTGAAGATGGAGTTGACATAACTCTAAGCCTCCTCTGGGGTTATTGCTAGATGATTGCAGGGGAAAATGGGGAAGTAAGCTGGAGGGGGAGGCATTAAAATTTAAGGGGGATGAAGGGGGTCAATCCATGGGACTTCTTCCATGGCCTCAGTACAGATAAATGACTGGATGGTGGATTTGGGTTCGATGTCTGCAAATGTGGGTCGAGAAGCACGCCTATCACTGTCAACACTGGCCTGAATACCTGTATGCACACTGCTCATTTGCTGTCTTGGTGACAATGGTGAGATGTGCCACGTGACTAATGCTGGCAAGTGCCTCTCCTCTGAAACAATATGTGGTTATCGTGGATAAGTCTTCAACTTTTCCAGTTTGCTAGTGGTAAAACGTTCACACACAATACCAAGATCCTCCTTTCGAATTCCTGTCCCATTGTCCTGAATCTGCAGTAACTTCATACCTCCAGACTTCACTGTAACCTGTATTGTACTTGCACGGGCATCCAGACTGAAACATTTTGTGAAATATTAATATATTTTGGGTCCCAGAAAATTGTTAGATGTTCTTCTTGGTTATTTACCATGCTCTCAATATCTTTTTTTTTTTATTGCTAGTGGGGTGGGACTAAGTCCCTTGTACTGCGGCCACTTCTGGCCTATTGTACCAGCCCCAGATGATAGATGAGTGTGATTGTGGAGCAATTGGTGGAATGAAGATTGGCAGGGTAAACCGAAGTATTCACAGAAAACCTGCCCCAGCGCCACTTTGTCCACCACAAATCCCACTTGACCAGACCCAGGATGGAACCCGGACCGCCGTGGTGGGAAGCCAGCGAATAACTGCTTGAGCTATGGCGCGGCCATGATCTCAGTATCTACACTGAATAGTGTTCAGTTGTATGATGATCAGTGGATTGGAAGGAAGTGGCCTGATCATGGTACTATCCCAACATCTACCTGTTAGTCAGGTTAGATCAATGCAAAATGTCACATATGGTGGTATTTTCCACTGCCTCACTTTGGTTAAGGATACAGAATATTTTGAAAGCCAGCTCCACAATGTAAAAGTATTATTGGGTCTGTTAGACGGAATTAATCTCTACTGCCACGGATTAATCTCATCTACTTGATCTAACTAGGCAGATTTCATACTTTTATACTGGGCCGTGCCACAGCTCAAGCGGTTAGTCGCAGGCTTCCCACCGTGGTGGCCTGAGTTTGATCCCGGGCCTGGTCAAGTGTGATTTGTGGTGGACAAAGTGGCGCTGGGGCAAGTTTTCTCCAAGCACTTCGGTTTCCCCTGCCAATCTTCATTCCACCAAATTCTCCATCATCATAATCACTCGGAGCAGGTACAATAAGCCAATCAGTGGCCGCATGCCGAGTGGACCCAGCTGAACTCCACCCCCCAATAAGCGAATTAAATAAAAAAATTAAAATTTAAATACTTTTACCTGACAAAGAATGCAGACCCTGCTTCCAAAACGTTGGTTCTTCAAGCAAAACATGATGATCAGTAGTATACAGAATATGTCAGTTTAATAACAACCCTCTGATTTATATTAGATTAGTGTAGCTTAGCTCAGGGGGGCCCAGATCATATTCTTCACATTTACACTTCTCTCTCCTTTAACAGTGAGTAATATGAAAACTCAACAAATGACTCACCAGAAGACTACATACAAAGGCAAATTATATTTTATAAACATTCTGCAGCAGCAGCCATCAATAAGTTTGATCTGTGACTTTGATGACGTACATACCTGAAGATTACATACTTGGTGTCAAATGCGTTATGTGAATAAAAGTTCGTGATTTAAAATATATTAATATACGCATTAGCATACCGCATTCTCATAGCTGAGTATTCAATATAATGATTGTTAAAAAGTTTTATTTTCTATGTCCATAACAGTGGCGGCTCATAGCTAAAATTAGTGGGGGTGCTGCTCCAGAAAATTTGTAGCCTTTGTTTTAAAATTGTATAAAAGGAAACAAACATGTATAAAAAGAAAATTTATTCAAAAACTTGATAAAATCCTAAAAGAACAAAATCAAATATTTTTTACTTACTTTAACCTAAATTGTTACTGATCCAGCATTTGTTGACCACTATTCACACCAATTACCGAATTTGGAACCTGGTATTGCAGAGAATCAGTTTTATTCCACTTGCAGCCATCAAACAAACCCCGTGGCCTGTAGTCCGCAAGCGAACTATACTGACCGAGCGACCGCCACTTGTCGGCGAAGTCAGTGCCAACTTTTTGTGGATAGAGGGTGTCACATGGTCAGTGCAAGGGATCCCCATGGCTGTTAATCTGGGTTTTCTACACTGGAGCCGCTATTTCCTTGAATTAGCTCCTCAAATTATCCTCATGAGGCTGAGTGGACCTCGTTCCACCACGACTACTTCTCAGAAAATCTGGTAGCGCTGGGAACCGAACCCGGGACCTCTGGATCTGTAACCAGGAATTTTGGCCACTAGACCACAGATGCGGTCACTTGCATCCATTAAATGAAGAAGTTTCTTAGGAATGTTGGAGTTACTTCATATTAAATCTTTATCAGTCAAAAAATCTGCTAATAGAAATATACTGGACCATCACAGACTATCCCCTTATGGTCCTCCACACTGGGGGTAGAAGGAACGTTAAAATCCAATGGTCTTTGGCATTAGCAAAGTTAAACCTCTGGGTTCTGCCATCAGAGAGTTAGATAATTAGATACATCTTAGAGAAGCAGGTTATGAGAATGGAGGGTGGATGGAACAGGCTTGGAATTGTGTCCAGTGGCAGGCTTTTGTATTAGGAGCACCTTCACGTTTTGCTAACAGAGAGTTAGTTAATTAGTATGACTGATATTAGGGAAATACATTGTGAAGTTGGGAGGTGAATGGAACTGGCTTGGGGTTGCGTCCAGTGTCAGGCTTACGTATTAGCAGTGTTGAACTTGCAATTACCATTAACTCAGGGTTAATCAGTCAGTTGAGTAAATCTGTTTCAAAGCATGAAAAAAAAAACTTGTTTTATTTTCATATGCACAATACAATATTTCGCCTGTTTACAAAATCTACAAAAATCTCGTGTATTATCAACACAGCAGAACACAGTTTCCTTATCACAGGCCCTGTCATAACACGGCTACATTCAGGTCATGTATACTTCAGCATGATGATCACATTAGCTGTATGTGTAATAACTGCTTGTCCTTGTTGGACAACACCCCATTGTAATACTTAAAATGTAACAATAATGCAAGACAGAAACAAGTAATAGAAGAGAGCCCATAAAGTATTTACAACAAAGAACCCAGGGTAAGTACAAACAAGTAGAGATTTATAGATGCATCTGGTGCCTCCAGAAAGCTGGCACCTATCTACAAAGCTAAGCTGCAACACAGTCCAGAATCTAACCACTGTTCTTCCAATTGGCACTTGACAGCAACAGGTGGTGAGGATGTAACAGTGACTAAACACAAACAGTACAGGTTTCCAATACCGAAACACAACACAATGACTATTATTTTGGATATTGAATGCGGTCTCACGACTTTTCAAACATGAAGAGTACCATCTTCTGGTTTATAATGCTGTGTAGTGCACTGAAAGTCAACGGAGGTTTTGGAGGAACATATCACCTCCACCTTCAGGGTCAAATAAACCGAGCAAGATACCATTGTGAAAGCAGGTGCCAAACTGGCTAGGCTTATTCAACCCTGCTTTCAGACTAGTATCTTACTATGCCTATCTGACCCTGAAGACAGAGGTGATATATTCCTTTGAAACATCAGTTAACCTTCAGCAAACTACATGGCATTATTTCCCAGAAATAACCACAGCTGTGCAAACCTCAAATCCAACATTTTGAAACAAGTTTCAGAAACTGGATCTGTTGATGTCATCAAAAGGTGTATGGGATTCCTACTCAGTTGGGATCACAGCTAGTCTTAATCACTAGATTAGCTCCTTCTGACGAGCTCAACTGACTACAGACAATTCCCCTTAGGCGGCCCATACACATGAGTCTGGCTTGTGAGGGGTCGGGCTCAGATTAATTTCACCACACACGTATGAGCGTGGCGACCCACACACGGACAAGTCTGGCTCAGTGGAACCTGAGCCGAATCGGACTCACAAGCCAGACTCGTATGTGTATGGGCCCCCTTATACCTATCACAGAAACAGATTCAGTTTCTGAAATGTCATGTTTGAAAAATCTCAAGACAATGGACAGTAACCAAAACAATAGCCATGTTTATTGTTACCACTGACTTTGCCAGATCACAGTCTTGCCCAAACTTGCCTGCAGCATATGTCTGCACAGTATCCCTGTAATAGGCCATGGAGGCCCATAGGATTCTGAGGCATCAAGGCTCCCACATTTTCTAGGCAATGGGCTCACAGATTGCAGTGAGACTGTCAGCCTTATGTGCTGACCACCCTTTACCCCGGACAGATTACTGGTACTCACTTCTGTTAGAAGCTGATTTGACCCCAGGGCAATAATGCAGCTGGAACGATTAAGTCATGTTAAAAATCAAATGACCTCATCAGGAGTTGATCCCACAACCTTCCAGCTTGTAGCATATTGCCCCCTTGTCTCCATGGTACAGATCCCTTATTAGAAAGGTGCAAGGTACAGCGGACCTAATTAAAATAGATGCTGACAAGTTTAATGTGCTGATATGGTAACAAAACTTTATGGATACTTAAAGAAAGATACTAGGTTTGTGAACCATCTGTCACTGAACCAACACAAAATCCACTTATTCAATGAACCACAGTACATTATACACTGTGTTGGCAACATTATGGAAGGAAAGTCATGTGTCAGTATGTTTGAACTTCTCACTGGTGATTGTATACCAGAAATATGTTGAAAATAGAATCTAGAAGCTTTCTAACGATGATAACTAACCCTTGTTCCCATAGTTGATTCAGTTTACTTTGTACATTGGGTGTTACAACAGAAAAGCAATGGATCCAGATGATGCTTTTCCAGTTTACACAATCTTGCTTATCTTGCATTCTTCCCATTTCCCCAAATTATTATTTCCGTCAAGTAAAAATTGAATCATTAAATATTATTTACACCGATTTCAGGCTTCAACAGTCTAATATAGAATGATTAATAGTTAACACATTGCGGACCGGTAGTTTAAACATTTAAATCACCCTGGAGACCGGCGTTTTTAAACCTACTACCCTAACTTGTGCATTGTTCACTTTAAAAATTAATATAAAATCTCCTAATTAATTTTATGAACTGAAATTTTTGGAGAACACTTACCAGAGCTCCTAGAAGTGCTTGCGCATGTGATATCTCTGGAAACATTCCCCTTTGTGAAGAGGCATTACGAAGAAGTTGCACATGTAGGCAGTTCTACTCTTCTTCTTGTGCTCTGCGCACACACGGCACTGCCTAGAAGGGTGTTTCTTCTTGCAATATTCACTCTTCACAATTTTCACGAGAATATGTTTCCGCATATCACCCGAGAGTCGGCCAGGGGGGTCTACTTGAGGCCTCTGGCGGGTGCGAACAGATGGCCCCGGCTGCACTACGTCTGTGTCTGACGCAGGTACTGCCGCCACCATGATGTCAGTAGCCCAAGCTTTTGCCAGTTTCAACAGAAATGCTTTGTATTTCAAAGTAGAATTTCTGTTCACCTTTTTGAAAACCGTAAATGAATTGAAAATTGCACAGTTTATAAGCCACAGTGCAACTTTCTTCATCCATTTTACTGTTTTCCTAGGAAGGGAATAATAGGCCAAGAACTTTTCATGAACATATTATACTCGGAAATACAAAGAGGCTTCTTTACTTGCCCGTGTCGTCTTTGAACATCGACCATGCTCGAATTGTGAATAGTGGAAACCATATTCACAACGCGAGTATCCCTCCAGGACTGAAGAAGAATGTCCCCCTTCCGTAAAAGAAACTATCTCCAAAAAACAGTGACGCAACTTCAGACATGTCCGTTGGGTCCGATGGCATCTGCTTCACACCCGGATCACCAGCAAACTTTCCCAAAGTGGGGGTTTTGTCCACTTTATCCCATGTAGCTGTCCTGACACTCGCACTTTCAAAAGAGCTCTCACTTTCACTTGACACATTTTGGGCAGCCCTGTGGCCCCCGTCACTGTCACTGTCACTGATAATGGCCTTGCTATCAGAAGACGAAGCAGTTGGCAAATCTGATAGCTCATCGGAGAACATATCTAATATTTCCTGTCCTCCAAGAGATCGCAACTGCTTTCGTCTCTGAGCCATGTTGAACTGGTAGCTGCGTGGTTCATACATGCAAGCTTGGATTAGAACAAAGACAGTTTTGTTTAGGTTGTGACAGGAAATGACTTTGGTCGAGTTACTAGATAAGGCAGCAATCATTCCCGAGGTCATCTACGCAGTAGTTACGATTCAACGAAGCCACACAGCGATATATAGCGTTTTGCAACATAACGTGACCGTAGAGGGCCATATGGCCTGCCCGGTCCACAACGCTTGGAAACGTAGAGGGCCATATTGCCCGTCCGGTCCACAATGTGTTAATACTACAGGAATGACACAGCACTTTGATACAGTATCCTCAAACAGGTTTGTGATACATGAGTTTGAGGTGATAATGCAGTTCCCACTTTCTGCCATATAAGATTCATAATAAACCCTACTTTACATAAAACCATTAATTGATATAGGAAACTTTCAGACATATGTTGCACAGAACTTTGCCTTTATGGAAAATATACAATGTGACCACAAAATTTGCTATTTGAACCATAAATGTACCCTAATGGAAATTTGGTACAAATATTATTGTGACATGATGCCTGAAAGCTGGAACAGTGAAGTCAGAGCAAATGCCCATTGCCAGCCAAAAGCTGGGTGAACACATTCCCAAGCACTACAAGAATAGGTGTCCATTGCTACACAGTGGTTCTAGTGGCTATGGTTCACTGTTGAAAGCTGATATCCACAGCAACGAATTGTTAAAAGCACAGCAATGGAGGAATGCAGTAACATTAACTGCTGCGAACGGTGTGAGATGCACGGCCAGCTGAAGGGTTACGTAAGGAGGCTGGGCAAAACCAAAGCATGCAGTTGAAGAGTTATGTGCGAGACATTCTACTGCAGCTAAGAAGCCATCAGTTGAACAGAATTCAGAAGGCACCTGAATAGTTGAAGTGCTGAAGACATTATTTCATGTGTTATAGTTACAACAATCTTGATATAATTAACTGTAGTTATGACTTGGGAATATCCAATAAGTCGATTCACCAATCCAAATTGTCTGCAAGTCACTAATACAAGTGACATTATTTTGTTTATAAATACAAAACAATAAATCCTGCCAAAAGAAATAATAAGAGGGACGACACGAACCAGCTTGGTTTACGAATTTCAATAGAATCTTAACACACTATCTAAAAATATTTTAGTGTATTGGAACAGCCACTGTAGTTGTAAAGACTTTAGATTTTGCAGCCAATTGTATTTTATTTACATGTATATTGTATGTATGTATTTTAACTTTTAGAACATGTACTGTAATGGTGGCTTCTAACAGTATTGATGCAAAGGTGTCCCTCTGAAGATGGTCTCTGAAGACCGAAACATTTAAGGGCATGAATAATTGAAATAAGAAAATCTTAACCAGTCATACTGGACAGAACTATTTAACTTTTTCAAAACTATTCTTGTTAAGAAATGGTCATTTGTTATTAAATTCATATCACATATGTCTGTGCAATGCTCACCTATTGCCTAGCCTGTGTCCCGCGTAGTGATGTCTGTGCAATGCTCACCTAGTGCCTAGCCTGTCTCGCGTAGTGATATCTGTGCAATGCTCACCTAGTGACTAGCCTGTGCCCCACGTAGTGATGTCTGTGCAATGCTCACCTAGTGCCTAGCCTGTGTCCCGAGTAGTGATGTCTGTGCAATGCTCACCTAGTGCCTAGCCTGTGTCCCGAGTAGTGATGTCTGTGCAATGCTCACCTAGTGCCTAGCCTGTGTCCCGAGTAGTGATGTCTGTGCAATGCTCACCTAGTGCCTAGCCTGTGTCCCGAGTAGTGATGTCTGTGCAATGCTCACCTAGTGCCTAGCCTGTTTCCCGCGTAGTGATGGCTGGTAGTGCAGTGTATTGTTCTTATTTATGATGTCTGGAAAGGGGCCATTAAGTAGTTCACTTAAAAGAACACAGAAAATGTACCTGCTGGTATTCCTGGCAATTAGAAACTGGTTTCTTGTTGTAACTGTGGACTGGGAAAATTTCCGTAAGAACGCATTTCCACTAATATTATGAAAGTCAAGGGGCAAGATAGGGTTTATGTTATGGAATTTCACAGTACGAAGACATTTTCAAGAAATGCACTGTCAGATGAGCTGTACATTACATACTGACATACGTGATTACAGCTTTATGACATAAATATAGTGTTTGGAATCATTAATAATCTGTATATATACACGATTAAATCTGATATTTTTAGCCGTTTCTCTAAAAGACAGAGTTCTGTGGCCACAGCCATCCCCATGATTTATAGCAATGTGTGTACTGGATGAACAATCAAGTTCATAGTAGAGTTTCCATGGGTGCACTATGTCATAGAGCCCTTGCCTTTACATGTCAGCAGGAAACTGCAACAAATAAAATCTTTATTTTTCTGTTGTTTCATATCTTGGGGACACATGCTTGCCAGCAGAGAGTGAAACACTTCAACAGCAAATAAATAAATACATGTCACTAATATTACAGAGGACAGGTTTTTATCTGAATTACACTGATGTGATATTACGTAATATTACCATTTCAATACTGCAGATATAAAACAGGATCAAATACTGACATATTCCACTTGTTAATAGTAATACTTACTTGATTATCTATGTTGTTCTTCTTTTTCTCCATTAATTCTTGCAGTGTTCCAACCATCTGCCACATTTCAAAACTGTCACCATAATAAACAACACATTTTCAAAACTTTAAAAATATTACTAATATTAAAGACATACCAGTCGTTCAGTCTTCACTGACAGAATCATTTTTGAAAATTATCATGCTTTTCTTCACATGTAGAGTGAACCACTCCATTATTCAACAGGTAAAATATGATGTAAATTGACAGATATTAACCCTTTCAGAGCTACACACTGCTATAGCAGCATTTGGCTAAGAGCATCCATATTGCTTTACGAGTACATTACTACTGTAGTGAAATTTGTGTATAAACACTGTTTTCTTCTGGGATGTGATGCCATGTATCCTGGCCTGGAGGAACCTACTTCCTGCATCTTCAGGGTAAATACTGATGATGCAGACAGCAGGCTCCTCCAAAATATGAGTAGCTACTTACCAGACTACATGGTGTCACATCTCAGAAGACTACTATGGGAGCACTGACATGTGGATTCCCTTATCAGACAATTTTGCAGTTAGGTCAGTGCACCACACAGTGCCACCTACAGAACAAATGAAGCAACTTTTGGAATCATAAATGTACTCTGCTAGCCATACGTCCTAAGTAACCATAAAAAGTGTGGAAGAAATCAGCAATGAGTACTTGTCTAACACAGACGAAACACAGCAGAAAAAGGTTCCGCAGTGAAACTGGTCACTAAAAATCCAGACACAAAAGGCACTTTCGGAACTCTTTACACATTTTGGACTGTTTGGACGAACACATTCCATAAATGTATCTGTCTGTCATGCTGCTAGTTGTTGCATCTCTTCTGGTTTACTCCCCTACACGGAAAAACACAAAATATCTCAGTTGATAAAATACATTATTCATCTCTGAAGATAGAAAACTGACTGCAGCATCCCATATGAATATTCCCTTCCCCTGCAGTACAGTTTGAGTTGTGCGCATGCTGGTTGTTCCCGCTAAAGTGTTGTGGATGTGACAGGGCTAACACCGTGCACCAGGACTGTGGGCGGCAAGTCGGCAGTCAACTCCGTCAGCAGCTGAAGATAGGTGGGATATATCACAGCTTCATCTCCATGAGGAGGCACAGGCAGATAGAGGAAGCTGGCTGCGGTTTGCTCCGAGTACTGCCGCAGGAGCTGATTCACACTACAACATGACATGGTTCTGTCACTGAAGCAATGAGAACTCCTCCCTCTCTTTCTGGTTTTCACCAAACCTGCATCCCTCCCTCCCCATTTTTTTATTGAAATAAATGTAACCATTTCCTCTCAAATTTATATTATTATGTACAATCAACTAACCTGTAACTGGTACAACACAGCTGTAAATACAAAAATCAAAATTTTAAAATTGCAATGCCATATTTTTTTGCCTCATGTACCCCCTTGAACCCCCTCAAGTATGGGGGGAGGACAGTCGTGACTGCCAGGTTTGGAAACTTATACTGAAGATATGAGGGCTATTCAGAAAGTAAACTCTGGTGAGCTGTTAACAAAACAAACAATGAGAAAAAAATATTATACACAAAAAATACATACACACTTAAGCTACTTCTCAACATAGTTACCATTGGAATTGAGGCACTTGTTTTAGTTTCAATTATTCTGTTATCCATGTGTCTGTTTAAATTTTTTGTATTTGTTTTTTTTGATATGACGACCTACTACACTGGGTGTCAGCATTCCACAACTTTTTTTTTGAATGGCCCTATACACTCTTTTTTAGTGTTTCACAACACACTTATGATGTTACTGTGGTCCCTTGTTGCATGAATTCCACCATTAGCATACCTTTCCTGTCTCAGAAAACAGTTACCATCAGCTTCCTTGCAGGCAATGTTTGTTTAAACTCTTCTGATGTTTTTGGTGAATGTGTGTGCATCCACTGCTTTGACTGCTGTTTGATTTCAACATTCACAAATAAAACCCAGGTTTCATCACCTGTTACTTATATGATGCAACTGAGAAATTCATTGCCATCTTTGTGGTATCTCTTTAAAGAGTCAAAGCCAAGGCCATTCTCTGCATTTTGTGTGCACTGATGGACATTTCTGGAACCTATCTTGAGCAAAACTTGTGATAGTGTAGTCTTAACTGTGCTAATCTCATACAGAACAGTATACAAATTTTGTGAACATTCACAAGAAACTTTTGAAGCTGTGAAGCTCCATCTTTTACAAATTTCTTGGTCAACACTTTGAAAAAGATCATCACTCACTACAGATGGCCGTTCGACCACTTCACTCTTCATCATGAACATGTGTTCGCCCATCTCTGAACATTCTACACCACTGTCTCGTAGTTCCTTCACTTATCACACTTTGGCCACAAACTGACTTTCTCACAGAAGTCCTACATGAATTCCTCTTCTCCCTTATGCATGCTATATGCCCTGCCAGTCCCATCCTCCTTGACTCGATCATAACACACAGAACGTTTTGAAAACTGGATCTCTTTCGTAGGATCTGAGGTTCTGACAGCAGTGGTTATGAAGAGTACTCCCTTCTGGGATATAGCACTGTGTAGGATCTGAGGTTCTGACAGCAGCGGTTATGAAGAGTACTCCCTTCTGGGATAGAGCGCTGTGTAGTACAAAAGTCAATGAACATTTTGGAGAAACATATCGCCTCCATCTTCAGGGTCAAAGAATATGCTTAGCAAGATACCAGTGTTGCAAACTGTGTAGGATCTGAGGTTCTCACAGCAGTGGTTATGAAGAGTACTCCCTTCTGGGATAGAGCGCTGTGTAGTACAAAAGTCAATGAACATTTTGGAGGAACATATCGCCTCCATCTTCAGAGTCAAAGTATATGCTTAGCAAGATACCAGTGTTGCAAACTTTCCTCTGACTGCCACCTGCTTTCATGCTGGTTTCTTGCTCAGCTTATTCTTCAACCCTGAAGATGGAGGCGCATGTTACAGCGTTACATCCCAGAAGGTAGCACTCTGCATTGGTTCCCACTGCTAGGTGTACATTCACTGGGAAGAATATGAAAGACAACAGTCAGTACCTGAGTAGGTACACCCTGACAGCGTTGTCCAGCTGAGTTCCCCCAAAGCTGTCTGCTCTCGGTTTCCTCAAGCCTGGGGACAACTGCTGCAAAACTGAGCCCCCTGGCAAAGCTGCTGCCTGCTGACCCCATCCAGAAACCTGTTGAGTTAGAAGACGTGAAGACACTATGCAAACTAAATATGAAGGAGTAAGACTGCCAACATAAACAGACAGCTGTTCTGTGGGTTATTTACTGATACTGAATCATATACAGAGGTTATTCAATGTCTAATGATACAAAAACATAATACTAAGGTCACTGGTGTGATATCATCTAAGTAAAAAGTAAAGTAAAGTTTTCCCTGTGCTTAACTAATTACACACTATGCCATGAAGGCATATGGGGAAGTGGATGTATAGATCCACATTTTCTTGACCTCGGCACCAGTTGGAGGTGAGTGGTCAGCTTCATGCCCTGGCCACTTTACACTCGGGGGAAAAAGCCCCCAAGTACACACTGAATAGGAAGCTGGGTGGACTTCAGAGCCAGTCTGGACAACTTGGAGAACAGAAAATTCTTGACCCTACTGGTACTTGAACTCCGACCCCTCAGTTGTCCAGCCCATAGCCAGTCGCTATACCAACTGCGCTATCCCAGCTTATGACATCATCATTTTCCTAAGTACCATATGAAGGTGTTTAAGAACAGGGTGCTGAGGAGAATATTTGGACGGAAGAGAGATGAAGTGACAGGAGGTTGGAGAAAACTGCATAATGAGGAGCTTCGTAACTTGCGCTATTCTCCAAGTATAATTAGAATGATCAAGTCAAGGAGGATGAGATGAGCAGGACAGGTAGCACGAATGGGGGAGAAGAGGAATGCATATAGGATACTGGTAGGAAAGAGACCACTAGGATGACCAAGGTGTAGGTGGGTGGACAACATTAAAATGGATTTTAGAGAGATAGGAAGGGATGGTATAGACTAGATCCATCTGGCTCAGGATACAGACCAGTGGAGGGCTCTTGTGAACATGGTAATGAACCTTCAGGTTCCATAAAATGCTGGGAAATTCTTGAGAAGCTGCAGAATTGGTGGCTTCTCTATAAGGGCTCAGCTCCGTGAGTGAGTGAGTAAATGATACAAAAGGCTCATTTGGTATAATAAGGCTGAATGGAAGGACCAGAGATTAAACGGGGCATCGGAAGGAAAAGGAAGGGGCCCTATCAAGGGCACATTACCACATCAGCTACAGGGCTTTGAGAAGGCACTGTGCAATTTCTGCTAAACATAAGACTGAAATTGACAATGAGTATCTGGATTAAAGAAACATGAACCTCTTGAATGGTGGCAGCTATACGCAACATCTGCAGCTGTTGACGAAGGCGGTGCGCATTCGAATGGGAAGGCATGCTGGATGAGATGTTGTTGCCAGGATCATCTTGCCGGCGTTTCTTCTCACAAAGAAATACCCTCAAGTGGAGATTCTTCCAGCCAGAAACCTGACAAAAAAGAAACCCACTATGAAAGTGAGGAAACTGTACACATCACAGACACTGTCCATACTTATTAAACAATGCCATAGTAAGAAGATGTCATGTCATGCAGTTAGGTATAAGTTTACTGATGCTTAGGAATAATACAGTGCCTCCAATTTCAAGGTTGAAGAGTAACAATACTGCTTGTTTCTTGCTGGGTTCTCACTTGGCTTACTCTTTTACCCTGAAACCTGAGGCAGAGTGTTCCCCCGCTCTCACAATTTGCTGAAACTAGAAGCATGAGAACCATTACACAACCTGAAGCGAGCAAGGACAAAATAGGATTGGGCATGCATACTGCAGTCTGTTCCACTTCCACTGCGGCAGAAAGAAATATTCAGTGTGCCATATGGCAAGAATTGTGACTGGTGAATCTGTTAGTGATCTCTTGCAAGAATAGTATTTTTAAGTTTCCATCTGCAGTGATCAGTTGCTTCACAGTGGGAATGTTGAATTGCAGAACAGTGTTTAGGATCTACAGGAAGGTCACAAATGTTTTTAGCTCATTTCATGCACATGAAGCCATAGGTAGCATAACACTGTTTGGTTCAGGCGGTTTCACAGAAATGTTAAGTGCTTACACAAGGAAAACCTCTGTGCCCATAATATGAAACAACAAATACTGAAAATCAGTCATGTCACAACCAAGATTTGACGTTCACGTGGCTGCAACTATGATGTCACTACCTTCTGGAATGTGACGCCATGTAGCCTGGTAGAACATTACCAACATTTTGGAAGAACCTGATGCCTCCATTTTCAGGGTATAAGAGTAAGCCAAGTGTGGGAAAAAAAAAATGATCTCATTTTAGGAAGGGGGAAACCATACTGGAGCTCTGGGTAACCCAACAGGAACAGGGAAAACAGTGTAAATTCTATTTGCCTTTTAAACGGCCGTTATTTAAGGGTAGAGTGAATGGGGGAAACAATGGCTCTAGAGCAGTGCTTCTCAACCAGTAGTGGGGCCCTTGCATCAATTATACTGGGCCGCGAGAGGCTCTTATGGAATTTGTCATTTTCATTTTCTAAGCATTTTTCATGAATAAATATTTTATAGTGGAAATATTCTGAGGAGAACAATATTTGTGTCGAGAAGCTCAGACACAGAACACCTAAACCTGTGTAGCAAATGTCAGTGACCAAGCCGCATATTTTTAAATATGGGAGTATTCATGAATGATCGAGAATTTTCAGACATCCAGATCTTTCAACATTCGGGAAAGGCAATACCGATGTTTATGGCTAGTCATAAAAATTGCCTGCAAGCCGATTACAACAATGGGCAGCATATCCTCTGTTCTCAGAACTGAGCGAAATAACATCTGTGTTGCAAATGTCAGTGACCAGTCAGCAAGGAAGTATAAAGAAAATGTTTCCACTGAAATTGAAGATCAAGGCAGTCTGTATCTGGTTCTCAAATCTAGTAATACTGAATACTGTTTCTTCGCAAGTCCGCATTGCAGTGTGTAAGTGCTTGTTTTGAAACCTGAGTGATTTAAATTTTAATATGAATAAGAGACAGGGGACTTTGTTTAATTTTGGTGTTAAGAAATCTCGTATTGAAGGTGTCTGTGACGCAACAAGTAGTGATTCATCCACCTCAAGCCTACACGGCAATCTCCACGATGTACAAAATGAAGGGAAAACCACCAGCACACAGAAGAAAAAGTCTGCATCCATTCGTAAGTAGATGGACAGCTACTTAAAATTAAGTGTTTCGCCGGCAAGTTGACATCCTTCTGCTTCTTCCCCTACTCAGCTGACTTATATGGTGAGTTACAATGCATAAATATTTTTCTCACTGCAGTTTTTTCAAACCAACATCATTAAAATCAATTTAATAATACGATAATCAATTTTACGCTGAATAACATAAGATTTTGTGATCAGCATAGAATATGTCAATGAAAATTAGCACAAATTAATTTAATGATGTTGGTCTGAGGAAACTACAAAATGCTACAAGATTTCATTAGTCCAGTGATTCATAACTAATTTAAATGTAATTTTGTGTTTGTCAACATGCCACACCGTATACATAAGTGTACTAATTCTCTTTATGATTATGCTATAATTAATTACTAATATTACATTAGCTTAATGCATGAACTTTAACAAAACTGGAAAGGTATTTACGAGTAAATTGTTGGGACTGGGCCCTCGTCTTATAAAAAAAGAACTAACTAGGCCGCGGTCTCATAAAGGTTGAGAACCACTGCTCTAGAGAATCAGAAAAGAAGAGAATAAGGAAAGAGTGGATTTGAGAGGAGCTTTCTCCAAGGATAGGGTGAATGGGGGGAAAAAGATCAAAATATTGACAATGAGCTTATTTGGAGGGTAAAGTAGGGGGGATGTGAGGAAGCAGAGGAGAATAAAACATGGGATGGGAAGAAATGAAAGGAAGGAAGGAAGGAAGGTAGGAACGAGACTCTAATAAGGGCAGCATTCGTCAGACCCGACAACCTGGCTCAAGAACCAAATTCAATTACATTACGTTGTTATGCTATCTCTTTATATTACGTGAACAGGACAGCAGAACCTAGCTCACTGGCTCATTCTAGGTGCTGACACACTGAACTCACCATGTTGATAATGCAGGCCAGTTGCAACATGAAGAGACTGGTCGTATCAAATGGATCCTCATCGTCTGGTTGGAAGAAATTCACAGGCCATACATCAATAAATTTCACACTTGATGACCTGAAACAAACATACAAGATCTGGGGTTCTCACAGCAATGAATGCACTGATTACTGGCTTCTGGGATGTGACACCGTGTAGTCTGGTAGAATATTAACAGCAGATCTGAGGAAGTCATCTTCAGGATCAAAGCATAAGCCAAGAAAACACCAGAAGAAGCAGAGAGCAAGGTGAACTTTGCTCACTCTTTGAGCCTGAAGATGGATGCAATATGTTCCCGAAAACATCTGGCTCCCTCCGAACTACACAGTGTTACTACCCAGAAGACTGTAATCACCAGAAAGAAACTATGGTTTAATCATAGCAATGATACAATCTTGGGTGTTTCAAATATGAACGACATTAAATGTTCCCTTGATGATCCTTTGTGTTCTGGTCTCTCATACGTCTCATTATGTGGACTGGCTTAACCCTTCACGTCATACACCTCTGCCTTCATTATTGGTTTTCTTTTACAGTTTTCATGCTTTCTGTAGGGTGGCTAGCATGGTACATGTATGTTTCAGAAAGCTTCTCCAATTCTTCTACAGATGCCACTGCATGGCACTTCATCTGCTAGCACCTGGGCCAACTCAGGAATCTGCCAATGCTCTTAAATCAACCAATTAGAAAGCACATGCATCAACACCACTATAACAGCACAATGCAACAAAGAGCTTAAGCAGTTTTCGTTGTTTTAAAAATATCCTTTCCCCCCAAAATTGGCCAGGAGCCAGGGATATGAAAATCTCAAATTCTAAAGACTGAATAAAGAAAAACAACATTCAGACACTGATTTTTCCATTTCGAATGTCATGAATTTCCGGATGCCTGTTTTGCTTTCTCCACACAGTACCTGCATCCATTGGAATTGTAAAGTGTGGATCCACTCATTGACAAAAGATCCCCCCTCCTTTCCTTCTTTCTGGCCACAGAGAAAAGGTCCAGCCCAAAAACTGAATTTCTTCAAGTAAAATGATATATAAAAAATTTTAATTGATGAAGGGTCAGATATGAAAAGGGGTTAGTAGGACACTTTACTGCAACAGTGGCTAGTGTCAGACACTGTCATTGATGACAAACCTGGTCCAGATCTGAGGTTCTCATAGCAGTCGTTGCAAAGAACTCTTTGATTCTGAAGATGGAGGAGAAATGTTCCTCTGAAATGTCAGTCAACTTCTGATGGCCCATATTACTGTATCAAACAGGGAGAGTCATCCTCACATATGTCCAATCCAGAAAGCTGTCGCCCAGCACCCTAACACTGCCACAGTGAGTACAGCCTTCCTGGGCAAAAAACTGACCTGACAGACTGATGTGTTTCTGTCTGTATGACTCACTTGGCTATCATCAGCTTCTTGTCCAGGTTGTGGAAATGACGACAGAGACAAATATTCTTCCCCAGCTTCAGAGTATCTGCCACCATTCCAACGTACTCGACTGTGCCCAGGGCCTTCTCACTGGTAGAGGAACGAAGAGGGAAGACTCTATGGCCACTAGTTGCATGTGCACCCTTCAGTTCATCTGCACTGTACAGGGAACCACCTCTGCAACACAAAACAAGTTACATGGCAATAACTATGGAAACCAGAGCTCAGGCCCCCAGTGCTGTCCATCCTCTAAAATACTTGATCTACTTTTCTCAATGCTCAGCTTACAATTCTATCCTTTCTCAAAAACATTCATCACAACCTATCAGACTATACGGCACATTCCAGAAGACATGAACATAAATTAAATTTGTTTGCTGCCCGTCTCATTCCTCCAACTCCCTAAGCATGGCAGTGGGGCACCTTCAGGGCAGATACTGACAATGACTAGGTGATCATATGGACTAGGGCAAGCAGAAAGGGCCTCCTGCTTCAGGTTGGCTCTGAGCCACAGGCAATTCTTCACATTTGCAAAAATTTGTCTTAGATACAGATGAGCAGAACAATCTGCACACAGACACGACTCCCAACCCTCTGAATGAGAACCCAGGCTCCTACCCCAAGAGCACCAGAAAGAAACCTCCAGTGAACTATTAACAAAACAACAATGGGGGAACAAATTTATTATATGCAAAAAAAAGTATATACCTAAGCTACTTCTCACTGTAGTCATCGCCGAAACTGAGGCACCTGTTATATAGGGGAATAAGCTTGGTATGCCTGTGGGCTCACAGAGCTCCACATCACTCGTATTTGTAATGTGAAAAAAGTGGCTAATGGAGTGAACATCACAGTTGGCAGGATTACCAATTGCATGACAAGTCATAAGTCATAACTCACTCCCTAGAGAGAAGTACAGTTATGTGAGGGTTTACAAGGCAACGAGTCATGTGACACTAACCCGCATACGCAAACTCTCCCCTGCCTAAAATAAACTGAGGTTACTTTCTCAATAGCCCTTGTATTTTGTAACATATTTCTCAGCAGACCATGCATTTCACTTATTTTATTTATTCATTTATTTTTCCTTCTCTAGTTTATTTTATAGTGAGGTCAGTGATTACAAAGTATATTGAAGGGAGTGACATAACAATAGCACTCCAGATTCATATTTAGGAGGTGCTTGGTTTGAATCTCTTCTGGAACACCAGCTATCCTGGCCAGAGTTCTTCATGTTTTCTTCAGTCCCTCCAGGCATATGCCAGGACAGCAGCTCAAACATGCAACAGTCATTTCGTTCTACATCCTTCCCAGTTCACCATTCGTCTGTCATCCTGCTATTTGATGCTATACACAGCGAACCTGAGGACAATCTTAAATGGAGGAAATTTAACACTGAGATTACTGATTTTGCCTGTGGTTCTGTACGGGTGTGAAATTTAGTCTCTGACATTAAGGGAGCTATATAGACTGAGGGTGTTTGAGAATAGAGTGCTTTTTGACCAAAAAGAGATGAAGTGACTGGTGACTGGAGAAAACTGCAGAATTATGTGCTTCATAACCTGTACTCTACACCAAATATAATTAGAATGATAAAGCCAAGGAGGATGACATGGGCAGGGCATGTAGCACAAATGGGGGAGAAGAGGAATACATACAGGATATTGGTGGGAAAACCAGCAGGAAAGAGACCACTGGGAAGACCAAGGTGTAGGTAGGTGGACAATTATTAAAATGGACCTTAGAGAGATAGGATGGGATGGTATGAATTGGATTGATCTGGCTCAGGATAGTGACCAGTGGAGGGTTCTTGTGAACACAGTAATTAACCTTCAGGTTCCATAAAATGATGGGAAGTTCTTGAGTAGCTGCACAATTGGTGGCTTCTCAAGAACGGATTAGCTCTATGAAGTTAGACTACTGATTTGGGATTGTTCACACTGGACACTAAGTGTGGGTAAACCTCCAACTGAGGAACACTAGAGGGGAGTTCCGCTGCTACATGGCCACATTGGAAGGGCCATGAAGCTTACACTCTAGATGCATACAGGTAACTATAAACACACAGACAGGAAGAGGAAGAAGGCACAAATTGAAAGGAACTGAAGAAAGCAAGACACACACAAACAATTATGAGAAGAAGGTACAACACAATGCCAGGTAACTATGAACCTCTTGACACTCACTCCTCAAAGAAGTCATGGGGTAGCTCCTCATCAAAGAAGCCAAGTACAATTGTGTTGGGCTTCATGGCACCGAGCCCAGACATGCGAATCATATGCTGTAGACCTTCCCGTACAGAGTGAGCAACTGTCAGCTCAATGAAGGCTTTCACCTGCCAACAGTAAGCACAGGTTCAGAAAGAGGTGTGGGACACCAATACACAAACACCAGCGTCCTGTTGCACTGATGTGTCACTCGTTCACTCACTTCTGTCTCTAACACAACTGAAAGCATTCACAATATTACCTTCATTTTAAAATGCCATTAAAATCAGATTCAAATGTAACATGTTTTAGCCCTGAACACTGGAGTACCTAATGGGTGTCCACCCTCGCTTTGGAGGACAGAGGCCACAAAGCCCAACACTAGAGGCACTATACAACAACATACAAACTGAATAACATTTCCAGTCACCTTCAAGCAGTCCACCAGAGTGAGCCAGTGTGAGTACTCATCAAGTGTTGGATCTACTTCCATGTCCGACAGCTGTCCCACCTTGATGTGACCCAACACATACAGACCCCCTTTCTTCAGATCATTCACAAAGTGAATAAGTGGGCATGAAGACCTTGGGTTTCCAACCAGAAGAAGCATCTGAGGTCTCCAGAATTTGACGTGATCTTTCCGCGAATCGAGCAACAGCAAGTATTTCCGCACCTGGAGGAGTAAAGAGCAATGTTAGCTGGTGGGGGGAACAACAGAACTGCCGCCACACTTCCATTGGGCAAACTGCCCTACAGGATGATTCACTAAGAGACGACCCTGCGTTATCAAGCATAAATGACACAATAATTTAGTGAGGTGCTGAACTTGGTTTCCCTGTGCCTGTAGACACAGGCTGACATGATACTCCATGTTCACAAACATTATTCCTCCACACAACATGTGGATTCACAGGCACTAGGTCAATGTTGGAAAGCACACAGTATTTCTGAGTTCTTTTTTACTTGTATATTAATGCATGATCTATAATTATTAATCTGGGGCCTCTTCCAAGCAAACCACCTGTATAACAGAGCCCTGTTACTGTCTATCCTCTTGTGGTAAAAAGGTGTCCCCATGCTTAACTAATTAAACACTATGCCATGAAGGTGTATGGGGGAGTCGATGTACGGCTCCTATGGTATCTGTGTCAAATCTTTCCATTCTCTCCCTGTACCCATGTTGGAGAACTCTGCTATCCACTTATTAAATTCCCTCAGCCCATCGGCCCATCAGCATATATTAAATTCAGAAACACTGTGTGGATTCTCATGAGCTCTGATTTTTAGAACTTTCACTGAACACTGTCAATACATTCCAATTTTTTAGTTAAAACTGGACAGAAATAACAGATACTTAACATATGCTTCTGCATATATGCTGAATGTAAGGCTCTAACATCTACTGGAGCAAAAAATGTTTCAAACAAAATTTGTTCAGAAACATGAAACATGTACTTTATGTCTACTACACTTTTACTGTTAATTGTACAATTTTCAAGATAACTGAACAAATTCCTGTATTTTTATATTCAAAAATTGACAGTGGCCATCTGAAAACATGTGAAGAATAACAGATTCTCCATAATTATAATTCAATTAACCTTCTTCCCATTAATTTACAGGCCTATCTGCACACAAACATATATTTCATGAAAATATAATTTTACATTTTTTTTAACTTACATGGAGAAATACTTAAAATATTCTAGCTTATCAGAATAAATATGTGAACATGTATGTCAGCACATTGCTTGGACCTCCTCCTGCATGTTAAGACTATACCTGATACTCTTGCAAGCAGGCCTGAATCTTCCCCCACACAATATGTCCTCCACATCCTTTGCGTCCCTGTCTCCAGATATTTTCAGTTTCAAAACTCTCATACCAGTGTAGACTCCATTTGTCTACTGTTCTTGTAGTGTGTCTACATTCAGATTGTACTCAGTGCCCCAGTTTCTGTGTCACTTCCTGAGTGTTCCCCAAACCTCCAGATGCTGTGAATTTACAAATATTGTGGGTTTCTGGGATCAAATGCTGTGCAGTTTGGCAGATGATGACCAGCATTTCAGAGCCTTCACCCAACCAGAAAACATGGAGTCACATGATAGATGACTACTCTTGACTCTTTAAGGACTACAAGGATACTGAAAGTAGCTGAACAAAAATATATGAATCTTTAACACTGCAGCTGGATGGGCTTTAACGACTTTGTTTCTGTATCTCCTTTAGTTCATATTTTTAGAATGGTTTAAGATACTGCACTTTGACAAACTGCACCTTCATATTCACAAGGACATACATTATTTATGCAAATGCACTGTATTTCTGCAATGTTTAACTGTTTTAAAATTTAGAGGAAAATTTAGGCTATGGAAATTTCGAAAAATCAAGCAAATTAATGAATCAGTGACACAGACGCATCTCAACCCTAGGGTAGTCAGAAGACTGGCAACAATGGAATGCTTGTTCCTGGAAGTATGACGCACTGAGGGGTCTGGTTGTGAGTTCATTTTCTGGCTGACCAGAAACGACTTAGTAGCCTCATGGGCAAGTCATGCCGCGGAAACCAAGACTCTCTATGTGGATTTCCTGCTTAGTAAGAATAATACCTGAGCTACTGAGACGTCATATATTAATTCTCCGTGCCTCCCTTCCCCTCACTGTCAAGCAATGAACTTAGGGGTCTCTTGTGAGTCAATTCCTTGTGTCACAGAATTAATTGAGATCATTGCAGTCCCGATTTTAATCCTGACATATTGTTTGGCACAGACTGCAGCATCGGAACTACATTAACTCAGTCTGCATAGGGACTACACTGGACAAAAGAGATACTTGAGTTCTATTCCTGACAAGGGCAGGAAATTCTCTTCAATAGCTCTGGGACCCACACAGCCTCCGATGAATGGGTACAGGGGCTGCTTCCCTGAGGGTGAAGCAGCAGGGGTGTGAGTTGACCCCTCACCTTCACAAAGGACTAAGGTTCAGAATGGTGGATTCATACATCCACTCTCCCCTTCAACCCCACACCATGGCAATTAATTAATTGAACATACGCGTAACTTTACTCTTGCCTCGCAGAAAGAAAACAGACAAATTCAGTTTTCACACATCACAAAGCAAAGTTACCTTGTAGCATAACGACATTCTATACGTGAACCTCATAACCATGTGCGTGAGTCTCTCCCCTCATGAGAAATTAATTTGAAGCATTCAGGACAGGTTGACCAACTAAAGGAAGGATTTTCTTGTCAATATGCATATCCATCTCCTAGAAAGTACTGCAGCTGTTTATTCAGCATTATTGGCTCAAAATATGTGGCCTCAAGCTGTAAGCATATGTGAAAAAAAAATGAACCGGAGAGAATTTGGAAGGAAAACATCATGATGTGATTCAGGTACTAACACATCACATTACTGGAAGGAGAGGGGGGGGGGAATCTATCATGACAGCCCTTTCAACTGTAGCTGTCTGCTGTAACACTCTGTATGACTTCGAATACACACTGAATCTTTTCGCCTCTTGATCCAAGGCTGGGATCCGAATGGAACACCTAGGAAATGCGAGTCTAGAGTGTTAATGCAATGCAAACCCATTAAGCAGAGTACTGAAGTGAGCCTGTGTTCAGAAGCTTAACATCCATAATCACCTGATGAAAGATGAGGGCCTGTGAGATGGAGCCCCAGTGGGCCTCACGTGAGGGGGAGAACAGGTGAAGTATGATGACGAAAACGAGGCATAACAAGACAGAGATCGATGCGTAAAGGATGTTAATGAGGAACATCATCACCAGAGTTCCAACAAGGCCAATGAATGCTGTGTGCCAGGTGAAGTACTTGAACGATGGCCTGTAACCCACAGATAAGAGAATGTACATTCCTCATTGCAACTTCCTGTAATTACAACAGAACGTCAATTTTTCACTCCTGGATTTTACAATTTTCCTGATAATACATACATTTCATTTCTCATTTGGCCCCAACCATTACCAATAAGAACGTTAAAGTTAACCGATTTTATGTTTGTTCATGCCCTTCTTGGATTTGCACTCCATTTTATATTTTCCCAGTTTTACATATTTTTCATTTCATTCCAGCCAAATACTCATAAGAACAATTTCTTATTTTAACTGATTTTATTTTTAGTCACTCATGATCTTCTCAAATCTGGACTTCGTCTCAAGTCCTGACAACAAGAATTTATGAGATTTTACATTTACAAGGTTCTCTTTTGGAAAATTCAAAGAAATGCCTTGGTGTGGTGCCATCATGTTCAGGTTTGTCCTAGTAGCACAGGTAAATCTTTGTACGAGTATATGAACATCTCTGAACCACAAAGACAGCTATACACACTGAGAGCTCAAGAGAAAAATATGTGATTCTGTTTCACTGATTACTGAAGTAACATGGCATGTAGGTTAGTGTAGCTGCATTTTCTTGTTATTGTGTTGAAACGTGTATACTTTTAAAAGGCTTGCTAAAGTTATGGTACAAAGCAGCCCATATACATAGGTTGGATAAAAAGTGGCAACACCTCTATAATTGTGAAATGACTTTACTACCTGAGGTAAACACACTTACATTCCTTCAATATAATCGCCCTCCATGTGTTCCACCTTCTGCCAAATTTGTGGAAGGTGTCGTACACCATCAGCACGTCCACTTCTGTTGATGTCCAGCAGTGACTGCCCTATAACATGAATAATCTCCTCTCTTGTGTTGCAACGTGTCCCTCACAGTGGTTCTTTCATTTTGGCAAAGATATCTTAATTGCATGGACTCATATCGGGTGAGTATGGATGATGGGGTTCGTTGCCAACAAGTGTCGTCGCTCTCTCCTGAGTCCTGGATGAAGATGATTACGCAGGAAATTGCAGTAGCAGGCAGCATTTACTCTCTGTCGCTGAGGTACAGTGTGGTGCAGTATCACTCCGTCAATGCCATATGCCACAATGAACATCACCTTCACATTGCTCTGTGTGGGGTGCACTTTCTTTGGACAAGGAGAGCCAGGATGCTTCCACTTATTTCATTGTTGCTTTAAGTGTCGTTTGTATGAGTGAGACCTTCATCCAGAGTGACGATCCTTCCAAGGAAGTCGTCACCTTCCCTCTGGTATCGGCCCAAAAAGTCCTGTGCAACTGCATACCGTTGCCATTGTTGCACCTCGGACATTGTATGGGGTACCCAACGCGCTGCAATTTTGCAGTATCCAAGAATATCGTGCAGAACGTGGAGCACAGTCTTGTGACATGTGCCTACCTCAGTAGCTAACTCCTACCCAGCCCATCGACGATCGACATCCAGCAAAGAAGAAGCTGAATTGTGTGGTTGTCAACAGGGGGTCGTCCTGAATGGCATTCCTCCTTTCACAGAACAATTTCACCCATCATGCCACTGTGCGATATGGCAAAGCAGCATCACCACGTGCTTCTCGCAGTTCCTGATAACAGTTTTGTGCACTATGACCTTGTGCAACTTCAGTTTTTATCCAGGAGCGTTGTTCTTGTTTCGTAAACACGTTGTTAGTGCGCTTGAACTGGGCTCCTGCACTTCAAGACGATGCACAATGCAACACAATGAAACACAACCAGAGCCACTCACTGCACTACTTCAACTGAACTTCTGCTATCAGCTACAGATGGCGCTAGTGCCACCTGACGCACATCTTTCATGTTACAGCAGTGTTGCCACTACTTTTTATCCAACCTTTGCATTTCTTTATATTGCCTAATTCTCATTTCCCTGAATTTACACTTTTCTCAATTTTATACTCACTTTAGGTGTTTCCTACAAGGTTTCACTGTATTCATGATCAGATAATGAACAGATGGTTTGAATGGTGGAGAACAAGAGAGAGAAGAGGAGGCAGAGAGAAATAACCAAGGAGAGAGAAGAGAACAAATAAGGCAAAACCGGTGGTTATGAGGAAAAGGCAAAAAAAAATGGAAAGAAGAGGAAGAGGGTTTGGATAACACAGGAAGGAGGAAGAGGATGAGAAACAAGAGGGAATACAGGTCAAAAAATGAGGAGAAAGAACGACAGAAGAGGAAGAGAAATAACAGCAGGAGGAGCTGGAGGAAAAGGGTGAAAAAAAGGCAAAAAATTAAGAAAAAGGAAGATGTAAAGAGATAAATGTGAAACAATGGTCACACACCTGAAGTTTGGGGCAGATGCCAGCTCCAGGCTAAGGCAAGCCAGGTTTGTCGCAAGATACGAGAGCAGGAACAGAACTGAGTTAATCTGGGCAATGGTGTTAAGTGAGCCTATTAACATGATAAGCTCCACCAGCATCCATGAGGTGAGCACTGCAGCAACTGGGTTCCCTCGCCACGTTCCCTTCACTATAAACTGCAGAACTGAGCCTGCAATGACATCAAGTACACGTGAAACCCCCACTTAGGGTTCTCTGGGGACCAGTGGATCTGAACAAATCTTACACACAGGTAAACTGACCCTGAGACTTGCTTGAAGTCACTGAAATATATTATTAAATAGGGGAACACCTTACTCAGAGGAACATTTAATACAGGTTGCACTGTAGTCAGTTGTGAACCACAGTGGGGACCTGATCTTCATCAACTACATACATATTTACTTTTGAGCAAGCTGAAATATGCACACTGCATCTGGCCGTTCTTTGGCAAACGCATCCCAACCACTGAGTCAAAATTATTCAGTGAACATTCAATATTTGATTTCTGATTTCCAGCTTACAAGTCAATTTTTTTTACCTGCTGCCACAATTTGGTTTTCATTTCTTTTACTGATGTACTGAATTTGCAACAGGTGGATGGGAACCAGTGTGGCTATGTTCTGCACATTACCGCCGCTACATGCAATTAAACCAGCACGTGTTGCAGACTGCATACTTCTACACTGTTCCATCCACCACAGCATCCCCACTCATGTCTCACGTGGAAGCTGGATTGGGACCCTTAGCTATGCAAAACTTCAAACATTAAGGTAAAAGGTAAAGCTAACCCTGCAACAGGCCGTGGGTTTCCATAAGGTTGTGAGATTGTTAGCCTTACGTGCCGGTCATCCACCCTTTAACCCCAGGAAAATTCCTGGTACTCATTTCTGTTAGAGGATGAGTCAACCGCAGGATCATAGTGTGGATGGAAGGATTAGGTCAGCTGAAAAATCCAATGACCTCATTAAGAATCGAACCCATGTCCTTCCAGCTTGTAGCATAGTGCCTCAACTAACTACACTACCATGCAAACTTAAAACTTAAACAATGAGCTGGGAGCAACAGAACTTATAACTCAAATGAGGGAATATTTTAATTTAAGAACCACAGAATGTCAGTTCCATCGTGCATCTATTTACTTAATTTGGTGTACTCATTTTGCTGTCGGCAACTTGGGCTGTACAGTTTTGACAGTTGGATAATTGTGAATGATGAACTGGAAAGGATATGCAAAGCTGTGGTCATAGCCTACTTTAAGGTAACATCCTGTGTTATCCTGGAGGGAGTAAGGAAAATCACGGGAAAACTCACATCAGGATAATGAGCATCCTAGCCAAGGAATGAACCAGGCACCTCCCAAATGCTTCAACCAAGTTTCCCAGCATTTACCTCATTAAACAAAGCCTTTTCAGTTGCCGTACCATATCACTGCACTCCCAGAACAGAGATACAGAATATTTAAGGTTACTCCTCTGTGATACAAGAGCACAGTCCAGTAAAAATATACAATTATTTCAGAGAAATGGGCTACTTCCATCCTGAGAGCAGAAAAGCTGCACCAAGAGTACAGGTATGGGAAAATGACAAAAAAAACAGGACTGCATGGGAGCTAATGGGAGATGGCATTGCCCAAAAGAGTATAGGAGAACACTTTTGGGAGGAAAACAGGTGAGAAAGAAATGTCGCGAGGAACAGAGCATGTCCTTTCTTCTTCTGCTGCGACTGCACCCTTATTTTCCTATAAGGTTTACTTTTCTGCCCTGAGGATAAGGGCAGTAGGTTCCTTCAACACATTTGTAAGTATGAGACTACACAGCACCATATCCCAGACAACAGTGCCCTTCATAATCACAACATGAAGATTTTATTGGTAATCAATCCATTATACTAAAATTAGCATTGGCAATTGACAATTTTATCTTACCGAACACATCATCTTTGGCAAGGGCCTCCAGAACTCTACTAGATCCGATCAGGTTGCTGAGGCTAGCTGAGAAGGTAGCTGTGAGGATGCCCACAGCAACAAATGGTGGCCAGACATTAACGGGCATCATGAAAATGAAGTCGTTCTGCAGAAGTTCTCGAGAGCTGGTGGCCGCTGTCAAGAATGACACAATCACGTAGCAGACAAATGTGAATGCGACAGCTGACAGCGTTCCGCGAGGGATATTACGAGAAGGGTCACGAAGTTCCCCTGCAACAAACACACAGACCATTCTTCTAGGTCAGACATAATGGTTTCAGGAGGAAGTAACAGGAGATTGAACAAACTGTATCAGGAACTTCACAGTCTGTACACTGTCGAGTATTGCTAGGATGATCGAAATAAACAAAGGTGTCATGGGAGGGGTATGAAGCATGCACGGGAGAGAAGAAACATGCATGTTTTCGCAGGAGAGCTGGAAGAAATTTACGATCATATGGAGGATAACATTAAAATAGATTTGAAATAAGCTGAATGGGAGGATGTGAAATGGTTTCATCTGGCTTAGAAAAGGGAAACATGGAAATAAGCCTCCAGACTCCATTGAAACTGAGCAGCTTTGACTCTGCTGCATGTAATCGGTCAGTTGGTCGGTCAGTCAGTGGGTCAGTCGATTGGTTAGATATGGATCAGGCCTCTGGCCTGCTATGATTCAGATCTGATGCCAAAACAGTGACTCATTGGTCATTTTGTAGGCCCTCTTGGACATAGAACTGGCCCAAAGCAAGACTCCTACCATCTTGACAGGACAACATGACACAGAAGAATAGAGACACATGTCCATCTCAGTACTGAGACAATCCAACACACACACACACACCAGCATAGGCAAACTACTGGCATAAAAATAACAATTTTTGCATATACAAAATTCTGTTACAAAAAATAGTATCCAAATTATCAGAAAATTAATTTACATGTGGCTATGCATGCATGAAGTCACCTGGGATATGACACCATGTTGCACAAGGCAGAAGGTTCCTCCTAAACACTGGTACCTATCTGCTACATCACACAGCCTTGATACTCACATCTCACAATCATGCTCATATATGCACAAATTCTCCCTTTGAATTTTGTCTGGTATATGGCTTTAAATATATAAAAATGTCACCACAGCCATATACATCACAGACCAGGGTTGACCAAACTCAGTGAGCGGCAGAGCCAAATATAATTTTCAGTAGTCTGGGAGGTGCGAACAGATGCAGACTGGACAGCACAGGTAATTAAAGTATGTGCGTTCTTGTACTTAATCTGTTCATAAAAAGGGAATGACTAACATTTCAGAATGGCAGCAGGAGATTAGACAGCCAGTGTGGCCACAACTGCCTTGGATCATGCAGCCGCCCAGATCTGGCACCTTGTGTTTCGGACAGGTTGGAAGCTGCTACCAAGCAACGCCTAGGGAAGACTGAGAATACTTTATATGTGCTGCAGTTACAGTGATTTTTGGAGTGTGTAACTCAGTGAGACTGTCATAGTTATTTGTAGTTACGAGTGTATGAGTGTCCAATAAATCTGATTACCAAGACAAACCCTATCTATAGTCACTGCGTCACATGACACTACATTCCAATGAAATGCCTGTGAACATCTAATAGAATACACAGCTTCACATCTCAGGGTACAGCCCTCTTCAATCTCTGTTTTGTTTGAGAACATATGAACACAGTATTGTGGGTCTCTCCCTGCAACTGGGTTTACCCCCAGACACCCACAGTGCACCTAGCAATTTGTTCTATAGTAGGCCCTAGAAGTCAAATAATGAAACACATTCACTTGTGATATACTAAACACTTTGTCAGACATGTTACTGAAACAGGCCACAATGAAGGTAAGAAGCAACCAGTCACCTGACATGTTGGCTCCTGCCATGATTCCTGTGACTCCACTGAACAGAACTCCAAACACCGTCGCAAAGTCAACATCTTTGCCATCAGATGAGTAGTCCTTCCCATACTGCTGGTGCCAGTTCTCCTCAAGTGTCTCCAGGCGGAAGCCAGTGTACATGCGGTACACCATCTCTGATCCATTGCGAATCAGATGGTTTGCTTCTGGAATCGCTATCTGAAAGGATATACAAGGTTCTTAACATTAATTCTCATAAGCCGTACACCTCTGTGCATACAGAGCAACAAAAGAATATATGAGGGTTGCAAATATGAAACCTGTTCATGGCATTTGTAGCCATGAGACAAGTACAGCTGCAGACAATCACATGGCAGTGTGCATAACACATCACAGTCAACCTTGAGCATGTCTTATAGCAACTGAGAACAGTGTGACAGGGTTAAATGGCGGCATTCCAGGTGAAGAGTCCATCCAAACAGGAACAACATGCTGTCACCTGGACCCCAACATCACCGTCACTGGCACAGCAATCTGCGGAACCCTCCGAGATCTTTGTATGACCCTCACGAAAAAGCATCCAGGCTCATTCATGAGGTGTGTCATCATCCTGCAAAAGACATCCCCATATCGCCTGGGCTGTCCCCCTTACAGCCTGGACCTATCGCTGTGTGACTTCCATGGGTTTTGCCACACATTCAGGTCAGATGGTGTCGAGCCTGCAGAAGTGAAGTGGTTCCACCAGCAGCTCAGACAGGATCCATCAGCTGGTGTGTCCATGGGATGCCTACCTCAGTGCCTGATAGCATCAACAAATTTACCCAGAACAATCCCCTGGGCCAAGTTCATAGTCAGAACCTTCATAAAATTCTAGGACAGGATCCACATGTTCAATCTGGTGGCAGCTGCCTTCAGCAACTTCCTGCAATACAATCGTCTTGTTCTGTGCCGATCACGAGAACCAAGATGTCATGAAAGGGTGTGGTATATTTTCCGTGACACAGCAACTGAATTCTTAAATATCACTTAGATGACCTTGAGGCTTTAAAGGGTTAAATCAGATGGATCAAGACACTGTTTTTTAACCATAAACAATAAACATCATTTGATGCTGATCTTTGCAATAAGTGACAAATTTTGAGGTTATCATGCTGCTTGAGGCAATCTATTTCCCTGTTTTGAAACTTTCCAGCACTGTTGACTGTGCCAGTACGAGAGGGTCCAGCTGTTGAGCAAACAAAAGTCAGGCCACAATTTCTCTGTATTCCCTGTGTCCTGTCCCAGAACCACCACACGTGTCTACGTGTCTGCTACCTTTAATGACAGATGATATATATTTTCAATGTTATACCAAAAAGAATGACATCACATTGCATTTACCTTTTTAGGAGACTGGATGCTGAAACTGACGATAACAGAGAGCAGGGAGATGCAAACGATGCCCAACACTGCAACACTCGTTTTGGCAAACATGCCAGCACCAATCAAACACACCACCAAACTAATGACATTGAGGAGAGAGCAGTATAGAAATCGCCACCACCGACTGTCAGGCAACCCCACATTGCCTTCTCCTATCAGATAACCTGCAAACAGAACACAGCATCAGAACTCCTCATGCACATAAAATCTGAGGTTCTCACAACAATGAATACTAACATTGCACTTTTCTGGGATGTGACACTGTAGGTATCAGTGTTTTGGAAAAACTTCAGGACAGACGATGGAGGCAGACGTTTCCTTCAAAATGCTGGCACCTAGCAACCAGACCACAGTGGTCACATGCCAGACGACCACAATCTCACGACTAAACATACACCACAGTAAACTTGAGAACATGCTAAGAAATCTAAATGCACTCTGTGACCTGCAGTTTGTAGTTTACTAAGCAGTGCTGTTAGTAACTCAGTCTACATAGTATCAAACAACTGGATAACAGCGAACAATGCATTGGAAAGGATGTGGAAGGAAATGGTTATGTTCTAATTTGAGGTACTAACACTGGTGGGACTGATGAAAACCAGGGAAAAAAAAACTTGTCGAAGTACCAGTGTCCCAGGTTTGGGACCTCCTGAACACAAGCCAGAAGTATTACTGCTTGAGCTGGTAATGCAGACTGCTCTCAAGTTTCCATTGCCCACAAGAGGCGTGTTTACCTTCCACGTGCAATGTCTGTAAGCAGTGGGCATTCAGATTTCCAGAAAAAAGAACCCTGAAGAAAAAATATTTTCACTTACCAGAAGGACCAAAGTTCTCGACTATTCCTTCGGCACAGCCGGTAATATAGAGGGCACTGCTTACAACATTTGCAAGGAAGAACAGAGTTCCAATTGATCCACCAAACTCTGGGCCAAGTGTTCGACTGATCATGACTGAAGTTGTCAGGTTAAGTAAATATAAGAGACAATCTATACTGGCCAGAAAGTGACATTTCTCTTAACATTTTGTCAGTAAAGACATGTAAGTAGACACTTACACAGAAAACAAATGTAAGACCAATCTTAGTTATGAATGGAACCAGAAGATGGCTGCAATAAATGGCAGTGTTTCAATCAATAATACGGTGTTATCAGTCAGTATTACTGTCTCAACTTCTGATGTTGTTGTTGTTGTTATATCAAGCTGTCTTCCCAGGACTTTACAAGTTCATAGCATACATACTGAGTGAAACTGTAATTTCAAAGTGTCCCCCCAAGGGCTGTAGCATCTAACAGTGGGTGTCAATGGAAAGGTCATCTGTTGAAACTGTAGCTAGAGACAGGAACTGTCAAATTTTCCTGTTCAATTCTCATCTGGCATTCACAATTACATATAACTGCTTGCTGCACAGAGTGACGGATGCTGCCTTTACGCAGCTTTAAAAGTGACTTCAAACTTTTACATTTAGCTGCAGAATTCTAGAGTGTGCAGTATCATAGCACCCCACAAATAAAGTGCTATTTAAGTTGCAGCAAGCTGTTGTCTCTCTATGCAACTGAAATTTTTGTCATCCACTCATGTCAACTGCTTGATATTGTAGCATGTAGACCCATTACTAGGTAGTGACCACAAAACACACACGTTCACCTGACTAGTCCATGCACAATATAGGAACTGTTGGAAACGGTGTTTTCTGTGCAATACATGCCAAGGGGTTAGATAATGAGGACACCAGCTGAGCTGTAGTTAGTTGCAAGGAAGTCTGTGAAGAGAAGACTTAGTGCAGTCATGAGCCAGCAGGCAACGAAGTGAGCACAGAAGCTGAAGAATCTCTACTGTTAGAAGCCATCAGGAGGCAACAACTGGTGAAGACACAGCAGACTGAAAAGACTTAGTGAGTGCTGCAATGGTTTGTAAAGTGTGGAGATTAGCAATGGTGCCATAATTAAGTGTAGTCATGAGTTGTGTGTTGAAGTGGTGAATAAATCCACTCTCTGATCCACACCCAATATACAGTCACTCATACACTCAACATGTCTTTAATCAGCTTATGTAGGCAGGCAGGAAGATAAATATTGTCTCCAGCCAACAGATATGAAATTTTTACAAGTAGTGAGAGAAAAACAAGGAGGGATAAACTTAGAAATGGAATTCGTAGAGAGGGTAGGAATAAAATTTGTTAATAGATTTAAAAGAGAAATCATAACAATGGTTTCATCACAAAAATGTAATGGATAGAACAAGGCATTAGAATAAAAAAATTGGGACAACCCAGTACAAGATGGTTCAGTCAGGTACTGAAAGACACAAGAGCAGAGGTAAAAGCTGGGCAAGAAATCAAAAAACAAAAGACTGTTGGAACAAAGACAAGACTTGAGATTTTTCATCCATCAACACATATACAAAGAAATGCTGAGTGATAAAGAAGAGAATTTCATGGAACTGAGATGAAGAAATCACAGGATGAGCAACATCAAGGATACAGTATGCTCCACCGCCTTCAACTGCTCCGTTAGTCGCGACGGCGCACACTGATGCCACAGTGAAGAGCAAGATGCCATACGCTATTACAAACTGAAACAATGTGACCCATAGACCTGCATTGCCAACTATGAAACCTGAAACAAATAATGTCACTAAATCAGAATCAATACTACCCGTTCATTTATCTATGGCTTATTCAATGACACTGTCAGCAATTCAGACTATACAGCATCAAATGGTAGAATGACTGGTGAATACTGGACTACAAACAATACAGAAAAAAGTGATTATGGTTTAGTTTGCGGTAGTACCTGAACCCTCAGTCCCACTATATTTTTTACATTAAACTTATATAAGTAACTTTAGTCAGTTATTTTGATTTTGAGTGTTATTCCTTCTTGAAAAATCTGGCCATTAAATCCTGTGATACTGATGGGGAAAGAAATTGTATCCTGAAGATAGGAGTACTACTTCTTGTTTATGTATAAATCTTTCCTGTATGTCATCTCTTGTTTATAGTAGTAGAGAAAGTAATTCTTTAATATTAACAAACCAGTCAGTCACAATTTCCACTCTATTTCAAGAACTCTTTTATTATCTGTGTCTCAACAGTTCCTTCATTGTATTCTGTCTCACAATCGTTTTCTCTTTGTACAGAAACTTATACAATTTCAATTTGTCTCCAGCAATAATCAGCCAGTATCACCTAGTGCTAGCTCCGACGTTACCTTCCTCTACAGGAATATTTATCACCAGTATAAGGAGAGAGGTGAAGTGTGTAAAGGTAAGGGTAAAATGTATCAGGTTGTGGAAGCCCATTGGATTGTGAGATGTCGACGCTCCCACATTTGCTAGACAATAGGCTTACAGATAGCAGTGAGGCTGCCAGCCTTAGGCACCAGCCACCTTTTATTCCCACGAAGATTTCTGGTATTCATTTCTGTTAGAGGCTGTGTCGACCCTATGCCCACAGTGCAGCTGGAAGGATTAGGTCAATTGAAAAATCCAGTGACCTCATTAGGAAGTGAACCCATGACCTTCTGGCTTGTAGCATAGTGCCTCAACCAACTACACTACCGCATGCCCTGAGAGGTGAGGTGAGGTACGATAAAGGTAAAGTTGTAACTGTACTTAATTAATTCAGCACCATGCCACAAAGACATAAGAACCCTGGTTGTCCAGCCTGTAGCCCACTGCAACACCAAGTGAGCTGCTTGCACAGAGGTTACTGTGACCCAGGCAGTGACCAGTCATGTGTGCATGTAGAAGCACTAAAAGTCGCATGTTCGTGTAGCAACAGCCAGCTTCACAAGGTGGGAGACACACAGTTTGGGTTTATATGGGTATCCCCCAACTTATGTGAAACTTTGTAAGATTTGAGGCTTTCACGGCGGTGACTATGAAGAAAGCAGTCTTCTGGGATTTGGCACCGTGTATATGTGGTGTTAACCGACGTTTTGGAGGAACGTATCACCTCCATCTTCAGGGTAGAAGAAAAATATAAGAAATCTGCAAGCGAAGAGACTGTGAGAACCGGTAAAAGCAGACAGCGATGGATGTGATACGTTCCTCCGAAATGTCGGTTAACACCACATATACACGGTGTCAAATCCCAGAAGACTGCTTTCTTTATGTGAAACTTGCATTCCCAATATGACAATTTAAAATGTTTGCTATTCCTTGGGCATCACTGCCTTTATTTTTTTTTTTAATTTCTACAATTACAATACAGCGTGTCTTTGTTGTTTATGATTCCTGACTTATTTTTGTTTTACACAAATAATTTAATTCTTCTTCTGTCTCCACTAAATACAATAACTAAAAAAGAATAACACGAAGTTGCATTTATGTGAAATTCACATCCATCAAAGGATACTTGTACTGCATGTAATAACAGAGCGTAAATATGGGATTTCCTCTGTCTCCATATGCAACATCCAAAGCATACAGAGACAGAAATGGATCTTCAGAACTAGGCAGGTTGAAAAGCTGAGTAATGAATACATATTGTAAGGGGCATTATCACAATGCCAGTTCATGAAAGCATGCCACTGCTCAGGGCTGTGGGCACCATTAGCAATAGGAGTTTGTTCCTATGTGTATTACAAGTATCGCTTGGAATGGCCGTAGACACTGTAAACAGTTCCTATAAAAAGAAAAGGTTCCAGAATGGAGTACACAGCATGCTCTCTGGGGAAGGCATATACTGTGATCTGAATTTTTACCCCAAATCTAAACCAGTTAGCTTAGGAATAAAATAATGTTGAATAGCTTACCAACTCTAAGAAATAATAATGCACTAAACATGGAGAGGGCCACTGGACTGAACACACCTGCAAATGTGCCCAAAGTTCTTCCAGACTCCACATTACTCGCTCCAAATTCAACATAACCACCACTGCTCACAGTTCTGCTCGAAGTAAAACCAAAGACACTTGACAAGCTACTAAATAGACGTCGTTTAGAAATCAACGGAGCCCTTTCATTCATTGTCGTCACCACAAGAGGTGTGCCTGTTGGTGCGTCACATAACACCGATACTGGCCCGTCGTTTGTAGACCCAATCTCCGATGCAATCATTCTTTCGATTCCTTCTTATCCTGCTAGTAGTACTTCGGTTACGGGGCGGGTCACTAGCGATTAGCTGATATCTATGTGGGTGTTATCTGTAACATTACACGACGTCCAATAAGCTTACAATATAAGCACCTAAGTTTCCCATGACTCACAACCAGGGTCAGTCACTAAATAATTACAGGTTTTACTACATCTTCACTCATGATTTCTAATTAATCAAAATACTCACTAAAGCCTGGCCAAACGTCACGTTGCACTGTGAAAATTCATAAACATTCCATTTGTAGGACTTCACTGAAGTCTGAGCGATACTTTGTAGATGTTAGTGAATAGGCATTATTTTAGCAATTTCCCGATATTAATTAATACAAATACATGAATAACAAAATACTTTTTTACGTCTAGGGTCCTTTTAATAAAGAAACGATTTATCGAACAGCTCATATGTCGATTATTCTGTCACACTGAACTCACACAAACTATTTCACAAGTGCATGTATGCAGCCAATGCAGTATGTAAAATATTAATACAATAAACCGACATTAAGAAATTAGCATACGGAGTTTACTTCGAGGTCAGCTGGGAGCCAAGCTACACGTCTACTGACTTGCAACTGTTAGACGAATTTCTCTCATTCTGTCGGAGTCAGCTGCTTCCTCTGGGACCCCTGCAACCTATGCAACTTCCGCAACCAACTCATTCATTCACATTCATACGCCGCCCGCCCCCATCCTCCCGAGAAGGCCAATTTGGGAGCGAAACGAATAGATCGGAATTGAGTGAATAGATTTATGTATTTGTGACGTAACGGCGGCTATGTTACCAGCGAATAGCATTGAGATGTGTATCTCTTATTTATTTATCTATGCTAACTTCCTCGCTTTCAATAACAGACAAAAGATTTTCCCATTCTGTGCAAATGGAATAAAGAACAGCATTCCCACCTAGATTACTCATCTGCCTTATGATATCATCACTTATCTGGGATAAGTTAACTCACTTATCACTCATTTGGTGTGTTGCAATCTGACAAACAACGAAGCCAGACACAGAAAAGCAGAAGATGGGTAAACCAATAAAATAAATAAAATCAGACCAAGGAAACATCTACACAGAATGGTCTAAAACAAGGAGATGCTTTATTGACACTTCTTTTCAACTTTGCTTTGGAATATGCTATTAGGAAGGTCCAGAAAAACCAGGTGGGATTGCAATTAAACGTGACACATCAGTTGTTGGTCTATGCTGATGATGTGAATCTACTGGGTGATAATATAGATACCATAAAGAAAAACACACAAACTTTAATTGATGCTAGTAAAGAGGTTGGTCTAGAAGTGAACATAGAGAAAACTAAGTATATGTTGCTGTCTCATCACCAAAATGCAACGAAAATGACGACATAAAGAGAGGTAACAGATGTTTTGAAAATGTGACACAGATTGGATATTTGGGAACGACTATAACAAATCAAATCCTGATTCAGGAGAAAATTGAGAAGAGACTGAACTCGGGAAATGGCTGCTATCATTCAGTCCAGAACCTTTTGTTTTCTCATCTGCTCTAAAAAACATAAGAATTGGAATATACAGAACTATAATTTTTCCTGTGGTTCTATATGGATGTATTTAATGCAAAACTTTTATTCCAATTTTAGTATAGTGATCAGAATGGTATTAGTTCAGATAAAATGTTGAATGTATTAACTATGTGGAAAGTCAGATACATTGGTGATAGTTGTTATATTGTAATATATGATTTCATATAAAATGTAATTCAGTAGTTTGAGAGCATTTGTTAGTGTATACTGCATGATGATGGCTTTATGAGCCAAAACATGTAGTGCACTGCTGTACCATTAGGCTCCATATACTGATTATACGCAGTAAATGTGAATGAGATTTTGATAGTTGTTGCGCTGAGACAGAAATAAACAATAATGAAGGATGTATGAATTGTTCGTTGCAACGCTAACTTATACAAATTCCTTTCTCGGCAGTTACATGACTTCAACAAGTTCATTTCTTTGTGGTTCACTTCATAACTAGGAAAGTGTTTTGGAAATTGGAATAAATGTTCGTACATGAAAAATTCAGTTCGCTTCATCATATCCATCAGTATGCATATAACAGTGTCATACGGGCTGCATAGTGCACGATGACATTCTGTATCGAGGGCTTTTCTGATAATTGTAAACCAAACTCAGTTTTGATCTGCAGTAGGCAACCGGGTTAATGGCTACTTCTAATCATCAGAGTTCGCCCACTGTTGAATTCCTTACAGTAGGATGTCTAATGACCAGTAACGACTGATGAAAGTGCACTTAGCGCATTCAGCCATTTCCACCTTCGCACCCCACTTCTGTATGTCAGATGATATGATCAAAGTATTAAGAGACCATGGGTGCTTTTGGCAGAAAGAAGGAACCAGAAGTTTATCTCTCTCTTCTGATTCATTTTGGGAGAAATCAAGATTGAAAAAAGGAGGAAATATACCAAATTTTATTACCAACACCAATTTTTTATGTGTTCTTCAATCCTCAGTATTCTAGGGTGATCAGTAAACATGACATTAGAACCCAGAATACTGCACTGTTCTGTATAGACAACCTTAAAAGGCTTAAACTTAAGTTTGTATGAAAATTTTCCAGCTGCTCCTGCCCCCTGGGGAAAGTTTTGATGCCACCAATCAGTGTGGAGGTCTAGAATGTGTGGTGCTTCACTTCCAAGCCCACTATATGTCTTCATGGAGGTGTGCTTTAACCCTTGTATGTAGTCAACACTGCAATAAGGGAGTGGAGAAACCACTGAATGCAGCAGTCCTGTGTCATTAAGGGTGGGGGGACATCTGCTCACCTATATTTTGAATACTCTTGGCCCTTCAACAAAAATGGTTGTAACCAACTTAATCATAATGTGCATTATTATTCACTTAACACAACTGCTGTGTTAACACACCACATGTTTGCATGTACTACTCTCACAGCCCTATGGGCCTTCACGGCCTGGTACAGGGATAGCTTTACTTTTACTTTTTTTTTTTTACATGTTTCAGGCTATTGCAGTCATCGTCAGGTACATGTAGTTTCATAATCACCCTCTTATCTATCTGCTGTACATCCCTGCACTGGAAGTGCCTTCTAAAGGTATGTAGCTTTTGTAATACAGGAGCTGCAATATGGGATGGGTGACTCAGAAAGTCAATTTATTTCCTGACAAGAGGCAGGGATCCTTCTCTTGTCCACAGCATCTAGACTGGCACTGGGGCTCATCCAGTCTCCTATCTAATGGGTACTGGGAGCTCTGTCCCCAGGGGTAAAGTGGCAGGGGCTTGAAGCAGACAACTCACCTTCACATAATGCTGAGGTTATGAATGCATGGAAATGTAACTCCACTTCCTCATTTGTCTTCTTGGTATGATGTTTAATTAAACAAGAACCTCTCACAGAGTGACCACTTGAATGTCAACACACTGACATGAAAACAGAGAAGTGATTGCAGTGCTGCAGACTGAACTGAACTGGCTCAGACAGTGACTCAAGGGCGGATTTATGTTATTGGTGTTCAACTTTCCAGCATTTTTACAAGAATGATACAGGAAAACCTCACAGTAAATATTCCATTATGAAGACTGAAGAGTTGAAGCTTTTTATGGAAATAATCACTCTTTATTGGGAGAGTCATATCAAAGATGTAAATACACTTTTTGGGCAAAATAAAATATTACTTGATGTTAAAGCAGGTGGTATACATGGTAACCACTGTGCATGACAGAGTTAAACAGCTTTTCACTTTGTTTTACACACAAGTCTGATGGCTTTGAAAATGAGAGTTCACACAGCACCACAGAACATACTTGTATACACATAAAGTTCAAATGGTATTACAGAAGAACATGTGCATATAAAGTTCAAATGGCACCACAGAAGAACATGTGCACATAAAGTTCAAATAGTACTACAGTAAAACATGTACATATAAAGTTCAAATGGCATTACAGAAGAACATGTGCATATAAAGTAAGATTTGAGGTTTTCACGGCAGTGACTATGAAGAAAGCAGTCTTCTGGGATGTGGCACCGTGTAGATGTGGTATTAACCGACGTTTCGGAGCAAGTTATCGCCTCCANGTAGACTTGCCCCCCCCCCCTTGTGTTTATTTCCAACACCAGTCTGCTTGTACCGGTTCTCACAGTCTCTTCGCTTGCAGATTTCTTATTTTTCTTTCTACCCTGAAGATGGAGGCGATACGTTCCTCCGAAACGTCGGTTAACACCACATCTACATGGTGCCACATCCCAGAAGACTGCTTTCTTCATGTGCATATAAAGTTCAAATGGCACCACAGAAGAACGTGTACGTATAATGTTAAAATTGATGGCGCAGGACCAGGTTTGGATATGGGGATAGATGTAGGTAGGTGTCATCTGCTTAATTCCAGTGGGCTTCATTTTTAGCAAGTCATTGTCAGTGCCTTAAGATGCCATGACTGTTGCTCCCAACAGTAATTCATATAGGAACGAATTCACAAGCCAGCATTGCAATAATTGACTCTGAATATGTGTTAGTCATTGGCCTGGGCTTTCCTACTGATATGGGCTTGTACTGAATCCTGTAACTGAAATGTCTACCTAATTCTGAAGTCATTTCCACCCCTGGATAAGACTCTGTAGGCATCAGGGTAACTGCATACACCTATGTCATGTTTCTGTCTATGCAGGTGGTGGCAGGTGTTCTGTGGTTGTAGGACAACACAGCTGGCCATAGTTCACTGCACCAAATAACTGTACTGTGATAACTGTCAAAGTAAGCACTTCATCTGCAATAAAGGGACGCTGAACACAGATGGACGAAGTAAATCAGAAAAGCTGAGATTCTCACAGCAGTGACTATGAGGATTAATGCTTTTTAGATGTGATACCCTTTTGGGCTTGCTCCTCTTCCTTCCTCATACATCATGTATATCTGGTTTATCTTTTGTCTCTTCCACTTCCTCATTTTTCTTCCTTAATTTGCCCTTTTAATAAGCCCCTGTTCATGTTTTGTCTTTTCTCCCATCCTCTCTCCCCTCAACAAACAGTTCTTTCATGAGCCAAATATCCTTTGACCTTTAAATGCTGGGCTTTTGGTGGGCTGGTGGTAAGCTTGAGCTGGCTGGAGTTTATTTAAATGCCTGCTGCTGGTGCGCATTTAAATGCACGTTGCTACTCTGCATTTAAATGTCCCTTCCTGTTAGGGCACTTAAACAATATTAAGCATTATGTTTAAAAATGCTATGTCTAACATAATTTTTATGATAAATGGATGGAATTAACTTTGTTTGTATCAGTAAAGAACATAGTGTCGCATATTATAACGGAAGATTTGAAAAATTTTATACAAAGAGTTGTACTGCTTTTTTCAATTTTTTCTTTTAATTTTGATGCGTACTGCAAAATCGGTTTCCAAGTTCTTCACAGAGTTATTCTGCATTATAAATTCGTTTCTGTTTGTAACACTTGACAAATTTTAGCAGTCCCTGGTGCCATAAAACAGATGGAAGTAATAAAATCATTTGGTTCTCTGCTGGAAAACCTTACGTCTTTGTTACACTCTTCAGATTTTCGAATTTTGGCTAAATGACAGAAGAATGAAAGCATGGCTGTTCAAGAAATAGCTAGATGGGTCTCTTCTTCAGTGCCAAGACCTTCTGTTATAGCTGCAAGAGATTATTGCCCTTTCTATGGGCGTGAACTGACAGCTGCATTGTGGCTCAGATTCAGAGTGGGATCTGTTTTCTGTGTGTTCGTAGTGAAATTGAATTCTGTAGTTTCATTTCAGCCTATATATACATCAAGCAGATAACAACAAAAAAGGTATGTACATCGAATTTTACTATATATTTTTAACACATTAATCTGCATAATCTGCAATAAAAGTACCAGCTCGTGGATGAGTTTAGGCATGACTCATACGTATACTCTTTTTGATGCTCTTCACTTAGGTATCATTTTAATTCCTCTATTAGGGTTTTACTCAAGTCAGTCTGGTAATTAGTACATTTAAAAATAAATATTTAGGACTGTGCATGCGCTTCTACTAGCGGTGTGTGCGCATGCTTCCACTAGCGGAGTTTAAATTCCCAACTGGCCAAAACGGGTTACTTTGGCCATGACAACCTTACTCATCACTGGCACAAATGGGGCACTTCAGACATTATAGGTTAAGTTGTTCTCCTTACTCATACTGGCCCACCTGTCCTTTCTGTCCCCTATATCTATATCACTCTTTTTCCACACTTAGCTTACTTCTCTTCACTGAAGATGGAGGCAGCAGTTTCCCCCAACATACTGGCACCTATCTACTAGTCTACAAAGTGTTTGATCCAAGAAGATCACAGTCTTCATGGTCACTGCTTTTAGAAGCTTGTATCTCAGGTGTTACTGTCAGTCATGGCATGAACGTGAGTAATGTTCTTTGACTGGACAGGGGAAGCACAAAGAATACTGTGTAACGCATCTGCAAGATTCTTGTGATGTTCTGAAGTGATGACTGAGGAAAGTTGCGGTCGTCAGTAGAAAAAGGAACTCATGTCTGACGAGTCAAAGGAGCCTGAGGTTTGTGCTGGGTAGAAGACAATGGCCTGGCCTCCATGTGGTGGAACTGTGAAACTGAAAGGGTCCATGGCCCCCTGTGATGCTGAAGCCTTCTGTAAAAGAAACAACAATATTTGTTCATCAGACTAATCAGTCTCTTATGTCACAGTCTAATGACTTCATGTCCTCCTTTATCTTTCACAAGGATGTAAGAAACCAACTTCCTGACTCTGTAACTAGCCAAGTGCTCAGTCAGAGATGATGCTCTCAACTTAAAGACCAAAGATGAGATAATGTGCTGCCTGGTCAGGGCTATCACAAACCTCAGGAGTGGTGACAGATTAGTATGGAGCAGTGGTTGCATAACTATTAGCAGGGACAAACCAGAGAAACTTGGAGGGAACCCTGTTTGAGTGCCACCTCCTCCACAGATTTCACATGTAGTCACCTGCGACTAAACCCAGGGTTCTGTGGCAAGAAGGAAGTGCCCAACCCCCCGAGCTATGCCACAGCCTGTCTCATCTATTGTAAACGTAACAAATATCACATGAACGTGTGTGTGACCTCTCCTTAGGTTCCAGCAGATGTGTTTAAAGAAGCAAGCAAGTTCTGTAATGACTGCAGCACAACATAATGCAATAGCCAGAAGGAAAGAGATCACTATGAAGACCAAGATTTAGGTGGATGGATAATATTAAAATGAAGCTCAGAGAGATAGGATGGGGTGGAATGGACTAATTGATCTGTGGGGTCTTATGTAGTTTTGTCATTACTCCGATGACAACCCACTTCTTCGGAACAGTTTGTTGGTCCTGAAAAGGACGGTGGTGGCTGAGATGCTTGACTGGTGAGGTAGCGCGGCACGCGCTGCTAGGGAGAGAGGTTAGTTGCGGTGAGTGGACTGGCTGCAGTGCGGCCGTTGCTGGAGGTTGCTTGATCGCAGCGCAGCGGCTGCTGGTGAAAGGCTGGTTGTTGAGCGCGGTCGTAGGAGTGATGAGGCAGTGGCTACACCATATGCCCAGTGGGTCGGACAGGGACACGACCACCGGCGAGTCCAGGCGAGGTGCCCCAGTGAGTCCGGTGTGAGAGAGCCGGAGGGCCGAGGCAGTCGTGCCTGGCGCAGCCTGCTGATGCCTCCGAAGACCGAGCGCTGGCGACGAAGCCTGCTGGCTGATGTTGCTTGGTGTGGCTTGATCATAGACTGATGATTGACTGATTTTGCCGGTTCGAGGCTGCTCCTTTTTATACACTGCTCGGTGGGTGGAGCGAAACTTGAAATTGAGGAGGAAGAATTGCTTGGCTAGCATGCGTGATGATGTAGATTCGGGGCTAGCAGCGAGCGCAGTATAAATGCGGACATTTGGGGCAATTTGATTGGTTAGCACGCGTGATGTGAAGAGTGTGCGTTGCAGAAAATGCGTGATAATGTGGGATGTTCCTACAGATCTGACTCAGGATAGGAACTGGTGGAGGGCTCTTGTGAACACAGTGCTGAACCTTTGGGGTTCATAAAATATTTGGAAATTCTTAAGTAGCTACACAACTGTCAGCTTCTTAAGAAGGGATCAGCTCCATGAAGTTAGTTAGCTCTCAAACCACTCCTGCCACCCAATTATAATGACCATTGATGGCTTTCCAGACAACTGTTTTGCTAGTCTGCTGAGCAACTAGCAGTGGTCGCTGGCATGTGTAACCTTTCTTACATGAATGAGTAGTGAGGTACATCACTTGCAAGAAACTGAATATGAAAATATAGAAGATTGCCTTTACATGTTTTAGCCACTGTTGGCCATCATCAGATGGTGTGGCCAACACTACAAAGAATAATTCACATGTAATGAACATTGGTTGTTATACAGGAATTTCTACAAGAATTATAAATCAATTTAATTAAAATAAGTTACATTGGTTAAACATAATTAATCAGTATCTAATCTCTTATAGTTCTTCTTAATATGGCAACACAGATAACCTTGATGAAGATTATGGGTTTCAGAGATAGGAATGGGATGTGAGTTATACAGCAAATATTCCAGGGGAGCACAACAGTTTGGCCTTATAAATGGTAAATGAAAGGGACACAAAGCTTCACTCCAATCTACATTCCCTTATTCTATACACAATTTAGATTACAGCAATAAATGATGTAATCTTCAACTGTCTTTTCTCAGTTGCTGCCTGAGACAGACCAGAGGCAAAACATTCAGGGATATCTGTGATTACTGAACTTGATCTCACATACACTAATTTGCTAATGAAAGACTTCTTTAATTTGGAAAATACTTGACAGGTGGAGTGCTAATGCCTGCCAAGTAGAAGTGCTAAGACTACAGCACTGTTGGCATCAGACTGATGTGCTGTTATGCCAAATTACATTCAACTTGTTATATCCTTCCAAAATCGCTCACATTTATGATTTTGTTCAATCAAGCATGATGTTACTGACAACCAGTCTGCGATGTCTTCTTCAGGCAATGACTGCATGAACTGCCAATCACACGCAGGATAAAGGAATTTGTTGAACACTATAAAGGATGTATAAAATGTTCTAGTCAGGTGAAAATTGTGTGCCTGTCAGTGGGTGAATGGCAGAATAGAATTCACTGGTTCTTGCAATATTCCATTCTTTAAAATTAATTGTCCCAATTTAATGCATAAAAGAAAAAAAGATGGATTTCCCACCGAGTGTCAGTGATTGCAAAACAAAAGGCAAAAAAATTAATCCTGAAACAAATAATAAACAAAGTAAAATGAACACTGGATTAGGCAACAAATCTGATAAAAAACATGAACACTGGAATAATTGAGAAACAGAGAAAAACAATGAATAGAGCACACAACTTCTTATATGAAATTTATATTTAAAAAAATGCAATCATTTTGAAAGGAAAATAAATAAAAAATATTTAATCTCTTGGCAAGTCTTTCTTTTCCATTGCCTGTATACTGTCGCTGAGTTCTGTCCTATGTGTAACAGCAATATAGGTCACTACAGGTTTCATTTCACTAATTACTAAGGACTGCTTACTCCCAGTCGAGTTGTGTTTAACAAAATTACCACAACATCCAATGATGAAAACATACAAACACCTTTCAGGAACCATTTATGAAATAGCATGTTTCATGAAGATGAGAATAGGTGACAACAGAGGAACTACTGCTGGCAGATCCACCTACTGGCAGAATTAGAACTATTTACAACAAATGTGTGCATTGCTCTGTTCATGCACTCTGCTACCATAGCCATCACTGTGATTTTATTGTACAGAGTAATTACAGAAATTAAATTAAAGATTAAATATTATTCACTCTATTTTATTTAAATGAAGAGATCTGATGCACCTTGATGTTATGGTAGTCAGTTCACATGCTTCATGTTCATAACTATATAATGAATTCCAATTAAATTTAATTTTGGCCCATGTCAGATAGATAGATTTGAGAACAGGGTGCTGAGGGCAATTTTTGGCCCTTAGAGACAAAACATAACAGAAGTTATAGAAAACTGCATAATGAGGAGCTCCATAATTCCTACTCCTCACTGCAGAGGAAGGGAAGACTTCTTGGGAGACCTAGGCATAGAAGGAACAGACCATGATAAAACGGATCTCAACTAATCTTAAGGAAATATGGCATGAGGATATGGGCTGGATCTATCTGACTCAGGATGGGAACAAATGGTGGGCTCTTGTAAACATGGTAATGAATCTTCTGGTTTCATAAAACTTGGAGGATTTGTTGACTGGGTAAGTGGTCATCGGTTTTTCAAAGACTGTACTGCAGCCTACTACAATTTTTTGGTCAAAGCCCCAGTATGATGTCCATTGAGCACTTTAGGCATGAAAACTTGCACAACAGCCAGGACTGCTACTTTATAAATGCCTACAAACTCACCGCTTTCTTCTGATTGGCAAGGCAGAATGTACAGACAGGTGACCGCTGTGCCCCCAGAAGCTGGTGATCAGAGAAGTTGTCCTGAGTATGGACAGTCAGTCTGAGGCAAGGTTGATCAACGGGACCTAAAAAAAGGTGTGTGTTGTACATACAGTTCAAGTACAGCCTTCATATATTTTGGAAGAATCAGCTTGTTCTACAAAACATTATTCTTGCAGTGAAATATAAATGTCTTTAAAATTTACAACTTTTATTTAAAAAAGGAAATATGAGTGCATCTATATGAAAGATATCCATAATTTTATCTAACAAACTCTCTGATAGCAGAAGCTGTAAGTTCAACAAACCTGGTATCAAAGACAGCCAATGAACGTGATTCTTAGTCAGTTTCATCCACCTCCCATCCTCACAACCTATTTCCCTAAGATCCATCTTACTAGTTAATTAATTCTCTGTTAACAGAACCTCAAGTTTCAACATTGCTAATACCAAACCCGCCACTGGACACAATCCTGAGCCAATTTCAGCTACCTCCCATCCTCACAACCTATTTCCCTATGATCCGTTTCTTTTAATGCTAGTGGGGTGGGACTAAGTCCCTTGTACTGTGGCCATTTCTGGCCTATTGTACCAGCCCCAGATGATAGGTGAGGGTGATTGTGGAGCAATTGGCTGAATGAAGATTGGCAGGGGAAACTGAAGTACTCAGAGAAGACCTGCCTCAGTGCCACTTTGTCCAACACAAATCCCACTTTACCAGACCCAGGATCAAACCCGGGCCACAGCGGTGGGAAGCCAGCGACTAACCGCTTGAGCTATGGTGTGGCCAAGATCCATCTTATTAAGTAACTAAATAACAGATCACTGTGGTCGCAGTGCAAGGGCCAAGAAGGTCCACCCCTTATACGTTCATTCATTCATTCATTCAAGTAACTAAATTCTCTGATAACAGAATCCAAAGGCTCGGCACCACTAATACAAAAGCCAGTAATTGGACATGATCATGAGCCAGTTCCAGCCACCTCCCATCCTCACAACATGTTTACCTAAGATCCATCTAAATATTATCCTCCCCTGTACCTGCCAGCAGCTGGGTCCCAAGATGTGAGATGTAACTGGAGGCGAGCCTCAGGGTCTCAATTTTTGACAGTTTGCGGTCTGCAGGCTCCGTGGGGATGAGAGTCCGCAACATCATGAAAGCAGAGTTGACACTGTGGGGGCAGTAGAAAACAGGGCACAAGCACAGAGGTCACGCTGTGAATCCATAAACCTGCACAAACTAGTTCTCCAACTTCTATTTTAATATTATTCTTCCATCCATAGCTAAGTCACTAGTAAAAAAGTAAAGTTGTCTCCATGCTTCACTAATTAATCAGTACATCATGAAGGCATATAAGGGGACTGGATGCACAGATCCAGGTGTTTTGACGTTGACATTAGTTTGCCTGTCAGTGGCCAGATTCACGCTCCGGCCGCTTTACCCCCAGGGAAAGAGCCTGTGGTACCCATTGGATAGGAGGCTGAGTGAACCTCAGAACCGACCTGGACAATGTGGAGAAAAGAAAATTCTTGATCCTACCTGGACTCAAACTCTGATCCTCCATCGTACAGCCCACTGACTGGCTAAATTACCAGTATAATACATATTGTGCTCTTCTTGGTTATGACACTGTGTGACCTGATATGTCAATACAAGCGTTTCAGAATGTAACACGTCACTAACATGAAAATAGGAGAAGCACATTCCTCCGAAATGCCGGTAGTGATCATGCACGGTTTTCATATCTTAGAAGAAGGCAATCTTCATGGCCATCGCCCTGTGATGCTCAAATCTCACAAGTATACTCATGCAATCGATTTTTAGGTTGTTTAGCGTCATTGTCCCACTTTCAAAAAGTGTATACTATTTGACTGAAATTGATCATGAATGGCAAATTAGGTAAAGATTTGGAGGGAGTTGTCATGGCCTGTTCCAAGGTTTTAATCCAGAATTCACATGGAGAACCTTGAATGAAATCATGATAAACTTTAGTTAGGAGATTTAGCATTTTTATTATTATTATTATTATTATTATTATTATTATTATTATTATTATTATTAGTGGGATGAGACTGAGTCCACTTGGTACTGTGGCCACTACTGGCCTATTGTACCAGCCCCAGATGACAGATAATGGTGACTGTGGAGCAATTGGTAGAATGAATATTGGCAGGCGAAACCGAAGTACTCGGGGAATACCTGCCCCAGCGCCACTATGTCCACCACAAGTCCCACATGACCTGAGCCGGGCTGCCGCTGCGGGAAGCCAGCGACTAACCGCCTGAGCTATGGCATGGCCACACAGGATATTCAGTAACTCGTCACAGATTTGAACTGCGTACCTCCAAAACGTTACCGCCACACGAACAAGTTTGTTCAGGCGACGCAATCAGCCGGTTCCCGAATGTCCCTTCACGTGTGCGAGAGCCAATCAGAACTGTGGGCCTCATCATGCAGAACAAAACCTGTCAAATTTTGTACCCTCCGTCTCGTGACGGTTCACATTACGAAGCACTCAGTAACTTGGCTATACTGCTTCCATTAGCAATAATGAGTTGGAAAGAGTGCGAGAGAAAGCTCTCCCTGTGCTTATTCATACTCTACCTCCATGAAGACGTATGGGGGAGTGGAGGTATAGCTGCAGCATTCTTAACCTCGGCACTAGAGGTGAGTGGTCAGCTTCACGCTACTCGGAAACGCCCTCGGTACCCACTGGATGGGTAAACCCCCGGCAGAAAATGTAAATACCTTTGTTCCTGACGGAAATTGAACCCCAACCGTCCAGCCCCCTACTATTTAACTCCATGGAGGCAAGTCCTTGAGAAGCCGCCGGGCGCTCAGCTACCCACGAATTTTCCAACATTTTATGGAACCCGAAAGTTCATTACCGTGTTCACAAGGGCCCTCCACTGGTCCCTATCCTGAGCCGGATGAATCCAGCCGTGCAGGCCTACACTACTGCATTACAAATGCCTGGTGAACATGATGCTACGTGAATGCTGCGACCCAGATCCCGAGCATCTCAAGGCACAGTTGGCCGCTTCTTGTCGCCATGACGACAGCGGGCTGCTGATTACTAAAACACTTGAGTGGCGTGAGTCAGCCATGTTTATGTACGTCGGGAATGCTCTCAAAGCGTTAGAATCCAGACGCCGTCGCGACATTCACGGTTTTCCCCCAGTTGCTCTCGGGAATACCAAGTACTGATACGCAGTTCGTAACGAACAAGTTACCAGCGGAATGCTGACTGTTTTGGATGAATTTTGTACAACATTTACAATTTCTATACACAACAAGAATGTGAAATTATTATGGTAATGATAACAAAAGCTCTCTGTGTGGTATTACTCGTATAACCGTAAGGCTTCGCATGCATTTCTTGTGCCATCAATAATAATAATAATAATAATAATAATAATAATAATAATAATACCCTTTCAGAACACGACGTAGCCTTACAACGTTTAGAAAGAAGTTCTTGCAACCCAGGGAACCTACGTTTTTCTAATGACAGGCCACGTCCTCTTTCTTTCACGTCCTTCGTAGCTCATGCTACATAATCATTCTGCAGTTTATAGAAGTGTAAATGATCTCTCTCTCAGTTTGGTAACGCTGTGCTCTTTTTTTTTTCGGGGAAGTTCTGTTTCTTTGTTTTGTTTTGTGTAAATCATTTCTATGCTTGGCACAGTAAGAAACTGCTTGTAAATAGCTGCAGTTAGGTTTCTCAAAGCGGTGACTGTGCACAGTACGGTATTCTAGGTTGTAACGCTCAGTAGTCCGGAAAGAGAACGACGTTTCGGAGGAACATGTCGGACCCATCCTCAGGGTCAAAGACTAATGAAACATCGAACCAGCAGGAGATTGTAGTCTGCTTGGTACATTCATCGACCCTGACGCTATAGGTGATTTCCTCCTCCGAAACGTCGAGATCTCTCCGAACTACAAGCCGAGGGCGGGAATTGGCGAGAGTGCTGTAATTACCTGTAAAACCCACTACCAGTCCAAATCCCGCGTGTAATCACAAACACGCGACAAATTGTCGCATCCCGCAGAACGGAGACGGATACGCATCTAGACCGAGCGAACCGTCTGGGATTGCGGATCGTTGGAGCATCTGAGAACTGAATTTCAAGTCTCCGGGATAATTATATGAATGTAGCAAATGATATGCCGGGCACAGTAGCCGCGCGATCTAAGGCATTAACTGTCTTCGCTCGCTCGGACACTGGGATCATGGGTTCGAATCTCATTTAAGGCATGGATGTTTCGTGTGTGTGTGTATGCGTTTATTCTGTGTCTGTGTTGTCCTGTGTTCAGGCAGGGGCCTTGCGACGGGCCGATCACTCGTCCAAGTAGTCCTACCGACTGTGAAAAATGATTACGTAACTGAATAAGAGGTCTGGGCCCTGAATGGGCTGGAAGAGCCATTGAAAAAATAAATAATATAATTATACAGGTTTACGACAGGAATAACGTCGAGTGAATAAGCATAAGGACGTGAATGCAGTGGGAATCAGCAGGAAGCAAGAGGTAGTGTTGAGCATAACACACCATGATGTCCTGAAGTTCACGGCGGTGACTGAAGAATGCCGGCTTCTAAGATGTGACGCCGTGTAGATACTGAAGTTCACTAATAACACACGAAGTGCGTGAAGCGAGTAATTAAACTGGCGAGGTGACAGACCGAAGTGAACAAGTCAGAAGTCTAGCTGTGGCTAACAGAGGCCGAGTTTTTAAAGGGATTCGAACCCCGAACTTGATACTTAGACAACCAGAGACCTGCCTACCGATTCAAGATCGACATATGATTCGTCGTCTTTAAAGAGGGGTATGGTCATTGTGCTGCAAGAAGTACAAGACGGTCATAGGAATTCTGAATAAGAGGATTTTAAATCTTCATGCGAGGACACCTGCAGGAAATACCCATAAGAAAGTCCCCCCCCCCCAAAAGGGTGAAACTCGTATTCTGTATTCACATGGTGTTCGGGAGGCCGATCAGACTGATTAGCCGGAACGGACACTTCAGGGTCGCCCGCCGTGCATGCTACATGCTGACGTCTCGTAAAACAAGACGGGGTTGAATGAACATTAAATTTAGTCACTTCAGAAGGGAGAGCAGGGCCCCAGAAACGTTTTCCAGCAATGCACGGTGCAACCCTGGCGGCGGTAATGCAGAGAAGCTAACTCAGGCCGCTTCTTGTAGGCGTCAGCCTGGCCTTCAAAATGAAGAATTTTAACAAATGGCATGGAAAATATAAAAACGTAAATTACCTGAAGATAGCTTTTGCATGATTTGTTTAAAGTATTAATGGGCCGGAAAATCGCGGGTTCCATTCACGATGAGGTCATTTGATTTTTTAATTGACCTAATCCTTCCAGCCGCAGTATGGCCCTGGGCGGTCGACTCGGCCTCTAACATAAAATGAGTACCAGGAANGGGGGGGGGTAAAGAGCGGTCGGCACGCAAGACTGAACTCATTGCCATCTGTGAGCCAACCGTCTAGAAAGTGTGGGAGCCTCGACGTCTCACATCCTTATGGGTCCCCACGGCTTGTTACAGCGACAGGTTTGCCGTTAAGGCCTTGCGTCTTAATCCGGTGACTAAAAAAACAATCAATGATTAAACATTTGTTCCGTGAATATCGAGTCTGTCTGCCACACGTCCTCAGGTACATCCAGATGAAAATCGTGGGACTGTACATTTGTCACTCATAAATCATGAAAGAGAACTTGTGGTCAAAATGGTAAAAAGTACCCGAAGAATGACCTTCGAATCTCGTCGAATGTCTTGACAATACATCCTTAGACTTAAATGAAGTACTTTTACCAATATGCAAAACTTAATTTTTTTATATGGGATGTCCCAGAATATTCAACACCCCCCCCCCACACTACACGCACCAATCAGAGTAACACATTTGTCCCACAGCGGCATGGAAAAAATTTCGTCAGAATTACTGATGTCTGCGGACAGATTTGTGTGAAGATGCTGAATGTACACGTACACACAGCATGGACATCCCATATGCCTACTTCAGTCTTTCAAAATAAGGAAAGTAGGCTAACAAGAAGCTCTGGGAAGAACTATAATCACCTACTTTCTTTGATGCGATACGTACCGTATATAAAATGACGCGTCGAACAATCCTTCTATTTTTTTCGTGTGTATTCGTTGTCGCGATAACGTTTTTGCCGAGCCTTTGCATAGTAACGAGAGGGGGCTACACGTACAAGAGACATGGGCTGATGGGATGGATTTGTGAAGCAGGTGCCATCATATGCATACCACATTTTATAAACATTGGCTCAGCCATGGAGAAGTTGATGAGGGGGGTACACAAACAGCATGCAGATCGCATAAGCCTTTTTTTTTTTAATAAGCGAAGTAGGCTAAAAACGCAGCGACTGTGGAGGTGTGCCTACCAGCCACTTCTGCTCACCTCTGTGTGCGGTCTCGTTCCCTTGCGTTTGCCTGGTTCCGGTGTTTCCCGCCCTCGGGCTCAGTGGGTCGCTGCGACATCTGGTGTCTTTTCTTGGCCCCTGGCAACTCCTCGTCCTCAGATTTCAAAGTTCCTACGACGTAGTCAGTTTCCATATCAGTTATCTCGCTGTGACAGTTGGCAAGCGAAACTCTGCATTGTTATGGCTCAAATAATTTCTTTTTTTTTGTTTTGGTCTAAGTTATGGCTCGGAAATTCCGAAATTACCGTCAGAATCATTAACTTTCTGTTATGGACTCAATTTAATTAATAGATCAGAATAACTGTTTGAAATTTGTCTCACATTTTCGTCACTTCCGGTTATAAGTTACAGATGGCATTGACGGCAAATTTTAGTTTTTGTTTGTAAAGAACGGTCATCTCCATTTGAACACTATAATCCGATTCAACTTACCGGTTCCCTTCACATTTAAGGACGACGTTTCAAACACGTAGTGTCAGAATTCTATTTAAGTTTAAACAGCAGTCAACGGCACTAAAACAGCCCAGAGAAATGCAAAAGCCCTATGTCATTACTGACAGACATTCCCAAATAATGGACTTTTAATAAATTAGGAAAACTGCTACAAAATCAGTCACTCTTTTGCATAATTAACAATGCATCAAGATCCACTGTTTTAGCTGTCACATGTACCAGCAGTCAAGGAGTACGAACAACTGACTGTAGGCGCTGTAGGCCACGCTACACTACCCTAGCTGCACATTCCGTGCTCCCACACACCCACACGCATGTGCAGGGAAGTGCTGGGACTTGTCTTGAGGATGCTCCACGTTTCCGCCATCTTCATTTCGAACACGCCCACCGATTTGTCACTGTCATATCCGTCTATCCCACGCAAACCCAAGCACGGAATCTCAACGGTTCTTTGAAACAATCATCACTTTCGCGTTCTCTAGTACTGACGTCGACAGAGGGCAAGACTGGAACAGAACTTTTTCTGCGACTGGTGTCACCATGTCGTCTTTCTTTCGCTGCCACGTCTCTGATAATTTTGTCAGGATTTCCCCGTACGAGTGGCTCTGACCATGGCCGGCACAAAACTCAATGCCGCCTCCTTCTTCCTCAGTTAAATATAGCTTAACTTTCTCCAAACTTCATCACAGCGAATAAAACGAAATTTTCAGACCGTTATTAGTATCGCAATTCGGAAAAGCTTTGTTTACATTGTTGGGTAACATATTTAGATTACCTCCAATTAATGGCCACGATATTGATCACCTTTTGGCTGTCATTTCTGTGATCGGCGCAACCGATTTAGTCAAAAACAGTTATCTCGTACATGTTACAGAAAATAAAGTGAACATCTCCTGTTCCGTGACAGAAATTAACATTTTTGTATTTTGTATCTCCGGATCGTCTGTTGTATTTATGAGCCGTTGTTACCTGCCTTACGGGTACCGCACGAAGACCGTTATAGACAATCATAGGAGCCGAAGGGGGGAGAGGGGCGAGTCAGGCTTAATTTACCCCATAAAAAGGAATAAACATACCAAACTAACTCCAAGCGAATGAGTCCTTGAGAAGCCGCCAGTTATTCAAGAATTTCCCAACATTTTATGGAGCCTGAAGGTTTACTACCGCGTTTACAAGAGCCCTCCGCTGGTTCCTCTCCTCAGCCAGATAAATTCAGATCACACCACCCCATCCAGTCTCTCTACGATCCATTTTAATATCATCCTCCAACCGACGGTCTACCTAGTGGCCCCTTTCCTCCTGGCTTTTCCACCAAGATCCTCTATGCGGAAATATACCAAATATTAATTAAAATACAGGAAATAGTTCTATTCTGCATACTCTAGGGCAGGGTTTCCCAAGCTCATGCTCCACGAACAAATGTCAAGCCAACCGTCTCCGTCTTCAAGGTTAATGCATTTTATCTATGCAAAAATAAACATTTGACTTGCATGGCAAAATATTTATATTATTTACATTTTTAAAAATCATAGAGGTGCAACTGTTGATTGAATTTTCATTCATTCTTTTCCGTTCAAAATTCCTAAAATATTTCAGTTACTATTCGTATGGTCCGCCAACGAAAATCCTTGGAGTAAGCGGCCAGTGTTCCGGAAAAGTTTTGTAACCCCTGCTTTAGCGCGATCCGCAAAAAATACTCATAAACGGCTTAAACATAAAGATTACAATCTTCTGGGATCTAGTGCTGTATAGTCTGGTATAATCTATACCAGCGTTGGCCAACCTAATACATCTCGAGGGCCAAATTTAGTTTATAGAACACCATCAGGGGCCAGATACGGTGTTTCTTTCAGAAGAGTGGTCGGGGAGTATTGCCCCCCAAACTGAATCAGTCACAACCCGTATAAAAAGTGCATTTAAACCTATGTATTTAAATTTTACGTTGCACCAATAATATTAAGCCGATATTGAAAATTTCACCAATCGATTTTATTGCCTTCTATCACTTCTACCCCCAGAGCATTTTTTCTTAAAGAAACACTGGCCAGATCATGTCTTATGTTTAGTTTTATATATGCCGGGGGAAAATGCAATTATAATTTAAGAAAGAAAAATAAAATGCCTTGAAATGTGCAATTACTTACCATAAAACAGCACAAATTCCTCTTTCAGCAGGGATGAGCACAAAAGACTTTCAATCATAGTTTTTATGGTCTAATGATTATACCTAAATCCTCATATACACACTGTTTTAATGAGAGCACTGTGGTTTCATAAAACTGGAAACCAATGATATAAAATCCACTTCTAATTGTGAGGTTGCCACTCGAAGAATATGTGATAACACGACATCTGAAAGTCTGTTCCTGTTCTTAGACTTTACATGCTTCAGCGATGAAAACGCTGTCTCGCATATGTAAGTACTTGCAAAAACAGAACAAAGTTTGAGAGCCCAATTTCGTAACAGTGGGTAACGTTCTGGTGAAAGCAGTTTCCAAAAGTCAATTCCAGTAACCTGAGATGTGTTTAAGGATGGGTCACATTGAAGTTCACAAAGCTCTAATTGCAGATGACCTGGCTGAGATTCTATATCACAATGTATAGGATTACTGAATAAAGAAATATCAGGTCGAAAGCTTTCAAAATCGTTAAATCGTCGGTCGAACTCTGAAGACAAATCTTCAATAATTTCAGTGTAGTCCCTAAACTCCAAGCCTTCTTCTTCTTCTGAGAGTTTCCGACAGCAAGGGAAATGTAGAAGGTTATTTTTGTCCAATGCAGACTTAAATAAATGTAGCTTTTTACGGAAACTGTCAACAAAGCCAACCATCTGACATATTGTCTGCTTCTTGCCTTGCAATTGCAGATTCAGGACATTCAAGTGTTGAGTGATATCAGTGAGAAAGGCCAAGTTTCTCAAGAATTCGACGTCTTCGAGATCATTCTGCAGTTCAGCAGAATTCGTAACCTCTTCTCTTAGGAATGTTGCTATTTCATGACGGAGTTCAAAGAACCGTACCAGACATTTCCCACGGCTTAACCATCTTACTTCAGTGTGCAGAAGCAGGTCCCCGTAAGCAGAATCCATTTCTTCCAAGAGGGTCAGAAATTTTCTGTGAGTGAGTGATCGATTTCCTCCTCTGATCAAATTAGTAATTTTTGTGACAGTAGCCATGGTGGTAGACAGTTTAATTGATTTGGCACATAGAGCCTCCTGATGTATAATACAATGCAAGGTAGGTACAGTAATTTGATTCTGTCTTAAAAATCCAACAAAACCGCTTATTGTCCCTGTCATTGATTTAGCGCCATCTGTTACTATGGAGGACAATTTTTCAAAACCACCGAATTCCTCCACTGCACTCTTAACAGCGTTAAAAATATCGACACCTCTAGTTGTGCTGTGTAAAGAGCACACTTTTAACAACTCTTCGAAAATTGTAAAATCTTCCTTAATTGCACGAACAAATATCAGCAACTGATTAGTATCCGAAACATCTGTGCTTTCGTCGAGAGCAATTGAGAAATAGGAACAATTAGCGATAATGTCTTTCACATTATTAGATATCTGGTTGCTAATATCTTCCAGCCTCCTAGTAACAGTCTGTTTTGAAAGGGGCACTGTTTGAAATTTGTTTCCTACCTTATTTTCATTGAAAGCTTCTGCCATCTTTATCGCACAGTTCTTAATTAATTCACCATCACTTAACGCTTTTTTAGCTTTCATTAATTCATATGTCACGAAATAAGAAGCCAGCAAAGCTTCTTCTTGTTGTTTTGTTTCATTGGTAAAAAGAGATTTCTGCTGGAAAAGCTTTTTCTTTAACTGATCGCAGACTACTTTCCTTGATTCACAAGAGTGTTTTCCGAACTTCTGTTTATGATTTGTCATGTAATGCCTCTTTAGGTTGTACTCCTTTAAAACTGCTAGCACTTGAAAACATACTAAACACTGTGGCTTGTGGTCTCTATTTAATATAAAAAAAAATAGTCATGTTCCCACTCAGATTTGAACGCCCTATTTTCGCTATCAACTTTTCTCAATTTACTAGTGCCGGCCCGCGGGCCGCCAGTTGGCCATCGCTGATCTATACCACACTACACGGCGTCATTTCTCTGGTTTACTTCTGATAGCCTTTCATAAACAGCTCAAACATCATGAAATCAAGAGTTCTTTGTTGTGAGATATAACGCCGTGTAGTCCCTCGAAAATTAACCGACGTTTCGGACGAAAAGGTCGCCTCAATTTACTTCCGAAACGTCCGTCTGCTTTCAACGGACTACATGGCGTTATATCCCCGAAGATAGAACTCTTGAGCCACCTCTGTGAGAACCTCAAGTCCTGCATTACGAGATCAGTTTGCATACTTAAGGCCAAATGCGGCTCTTTTTTTTTAGAATTGAAAAGGGATTTACCAGGTTTGGCTGTTGACAACTGACGGTTCGTTGCGTGACCTGCCATGTTAATGTACGTCGGAACAAAATAGCCACCCACACATGTGGCTGGAAATTCACCCTCAGAATTGTTTACTCAGGTTTCCTTCTGTGGGGAATTGCTACCAGATGTCCGGTGCCTCCACCCAGGCTTGGGGCCACCCGTAACTTCTTCTTCGGGCTTTCCCTAACTACCGCAATGACACGGTCCATTGACAGCATTCCAACTGCTTCCGAATATCTGGACACGCGCTTTTCTTTCAAAATGACGTCTATATATTTATTTAACGACGCTGTCAGTAGCTTAAATTGTACAACGCCGGACGGTAGGGTGGTAGCGAATCAAAAAGGAACTGATGGTGGTACGAGTTCTCTCCAGACATGCCTCAGCGACCTGACGAAAATCACGAAAGAAGCCGGCCAGTATAGACGGTGTCGGGTCCCCGGCATGGGACGGAGCAAGCCAGCCCTCTTCCTTCCACCAAATCGCCGTCTATCAAAAGCAAAGAAAATATGCTAAACATTAATACCAAAAGTTAGTTTTCTTTTTTATTGCTAGTGGAGTGAGACAAGTCCCTTGTACTGTGGCCACTTCTGGCCTATTGTACCAGCCCCAGATGATAGGTGAGGGTGATTGTGGAGCAATTGGTGGAATGAAGATTGGCAGGGGAAACCGAAGTACTCGGAGAAAACCTGCTCCAACGCCACTTTATCTACCACAAATCCCACTTGAGCAGACCCGGGATCGAACCTGAGCCGCCGCGGTGGGAAGCCAGCGACTAACCGCTTGAGCTATGGTGCGGCCAAAAGTTACAGTTACATTTAAGAAAAATTCTTCTAGTCGGAACACTCCGGGGTATCCGAAAAATATTTAAGCGTAAGTTTGTATGCAAATTTTGTCTGCCCTCCACCTCCTCCTTGGAGATAACCCTCGTGGTGCTGCTCATGCTCTGGGCCGAGATGAATACGAAGGAGTGCCAACCTATACCATGACGTTCCATGGAGTCGGGTAGTTCCCCATTTCCGTCTATTTACTCTCTTGTTCCTACGCAAGTGATTTTT